ACAAGGAGGGCTTGTCTCAGCGGGAATCGGCCCTACTTTCGCTTGCTGGAGCTGGCCTCACCACCGCCGCTCTAAAGCACCACACATCACGTGAAGAAAAAGAAGAAGAACGCAAGCATCGAAAACACCGCTCCTCTCGCAGCATTAGAAGTCGGTCGGAAAGCGTATCTGATAGTTTGCATGAGGAAAAGCGACCCAAAGAGCTCGTTCCACCACTACCATTCAATCAAAGTGAGATGATAGGAGGATCTGAGCTTACTCGGGATTCTATTCTCTCCGCTGAGACTGAGACCAAAGAGAGACCAGAGTCAAGGTCATCCGCGAGCACTGGGATTTCGGGAACAGGCGCTGAGACTCCTCTCCAACAAGTTCCCCGAGGTTTCGCCTCACCTTCACCTCTCACCCCAAGTCGCACGCCCAATGCGTTGCAACAGAATCTTGGTTCAGCCCACAGCAATCGCTCTACTGGTGAAGTTCGTCAGTCAACCCCCAAGAGCGAGCGCAGCTACACCTCCCGACAGAAAGAAGCCAATGATGCAGGCTTATCAGCTGCTGCTGCTGCCAAAATTCGTGCAATTGAGCAGTCTCAGTCTCAAGTGTCAAAGTACGAGATTGAGAGTGATACGCAGTCGGGCCGCGGCGTGAGTCCGATCCAAAGCGAGGCCAGTTATCGTGGCGACACTACCAACACTGGCTCTCCCCGAAGGTTCCACTCCATTCGTAGTGGGCCATCTGTATCATCCCTTGGTGACCACTTCGAACGACGACAGTCTGGCCTTTCTATTGCTTCGTTGGATTCAACAGCAAGTACAAAAGCTGCGCGAACTCGTAAACGACCACAAGGTGTCACGCTCGAAAGCAAGAAATCCATACTCAATGAGCCAAGTACTCCTACCGACACCAAGGAGTTCTTTGAACGTAATCATAAGAAGAACGAGCAATATCGGCGTGAACTGGAAGAGAACCCTCTAACACCACCACCCGTGAATTACAATCGCCTGACCCAGTACACTGATGACAGCGTGGGAGGACCCGACCTCAGCCTCGACCGGGATCCGAAACTGGCCCAAGACATCCGCAAGGTTGGCTCGATTCCTGAATACATTCACACTCCACTCGCCGTGGAATCTGCTGTGGCCTCCCTGTACGATCAAACTGAACTCAGCGTCCGTTCTTCAAAGGCATCAAGCCCACTGAAGAAAAGCACGCTATCTCAAGTCAGCACCAATCCTGCTTACGTACAGACTGACAATGTGCCTGCTGGTCAGAGATGGGCTGCAATTCGTGACAAGGCTGAAGCACTGTCACAGGGGAACAAAGTCGAAAACTCTCCAAAACAGAGCATTCCTCGCGAGAATTCTCCCAGGCAGAGTATTGCTGAGTCCGAGGACGCCGCATCGATTGAAGAAGCACCTCGGATGCATCACAGTGCCTTCCCAGTAGGCCAGGACGACATGCCTGAAATTGGATACGGCTTGGACGACCAGTCCGACGTGACAACCAATCCCTCAATCATCCAAGGACCTATCGGAGGAGGAAAAGGCTACCGCGATCGTACTGATGAGCTGCTTGACATGCAAGAGGAGCGAGAACGCACACCTACCTCATTCTCCAAGGGTGCTCATCTCCACCGGCATGAACAGCCAAGCCCGGCCACTTTTGATGATGAGCGCCAGCCCACCGTAGAAGATGACTATGATCATCCCTATCCAGGTGAGACACCATACGAGCAGGCAGGCTACGCGCAGAGTACGCGCACTCCTTTGTCAGGCCAAACCGGCTGGAAAGACGAGGGTTACCAGTCGGCTAACCATGGTGAAGGCTACACGCCTCAAAACCGCAAATATTCCAAGATGTTTGAGGATGATGATTATGGCGACGATTACGACGGCATGGCCCTCGGAGAAGATGCCTTTGGTGCGCCTAGAGCCAAACATGACCGGCACGTCAGCGGCAACTCTCATGGCATCGACTCACCACTCTACGATGCGGCTACCGGCAAGGGCATTGACCATATCCAATCCAAGGACATTGTTGCGCTCATGGACCACCTTACCGTTCGCGATGCCCAGCGCAATGCTCGTGACACCGAAATTTTGGTGACACTTGTGCGTAGCGCGGCTGAGATGCGCACTCAGTTGGACGACCTGAAGCAGTTCATCAAGGTTCAAGACAACATGATTATGAACACGACTGACAAGCGAGTTAATCTTGCCGAACAAAGAATTCTGGGTGGCCCTCGTCCACAGCCCGTTACACCACCTCGCTTCAACCGCAACAACTCTGAGGAGGAGATTGAGACCAAGAAGAAGAGCGTCTTTAGGCGTGCTCTGAAGGGTCTAAGCGCTGGCAAAGGCGACGGCGACATCAAGCACATTGAAGCCATGCTGGTTCAGCTGCTTGGTGAAGTCGAGGGCTTGAAGCAAGTCAATCAACTGTCTCTCGACCAACAACAACAGCAGCAGCAGCAACAGCAAGAAGCTGCTCGAACAAACAGTATGACTTCGCTTGAGAACCGCCGACAGAGTGGCGACGCGGGTTATGAGCCAGAGGGTCGCGCCAACACCGCAGAGTCGCCAAATCAGTCTGGATATTTCTCCATTCCTTCTTCCTCCCGGCGCATCCAGGATCTTCACTCTGGTTATGACGTTGGTCCAACAACTCGTATCAGTACGGTGCGAGAAGAGAGTGATGAGGAGTATGATGAGCGTTCCCCAGGATACGAGAATACGGAGCGAATGACAACACCGACTCAAGAAGCTTTCCAGGAGAAGCGCGCATCTCTCGGAACTCCACCACAAGCTTCGAGGGCAGCACGTGACTCACGAGACTCGCGAGAACTGCAGAGCCAAGAGAACACACCAAAGCGGAAGCACAAGTCCAACTCGTCATCAATTTTTGGCATTCCCAAGATTTCGCGATGGTCCAAGACAACTGCCTCAACCAATCCCGAAAGCCTGCCACGCAACAGTGGATCTGGAGACAAACGACCTTTCTCCGCTCATTCAATCCACTCCAGGTCGTCTTCGCAAGATGACTACTATGACGAGGAGGAGCCGTATGCGCAGCATGCCGACGACAGGCTCCGCTCCAACACGTCTCTCGCTAGAGAAGACCAAGCTTCCATCCGCTCCGTTCGCTCTCCTTCGCCTCTCATCCCAGAGGAGAACGCGTACGAGATGGAGGATCCCAAGTACCAGGCTCACCGCAACTCGCTGAACCTGCAGCATCCTCAGCCACGACCTGGTCCTACTGGTCGTCATCAAAACAATCTGGAGACTCAGGCGCAGATCTTCCAGCCTACTAACCGCTCGAGTATCAGTTCTCCTGATTTCGACCAGTGGGGCAGCATGCCTTCGCTAGCTCGCAACCGCCTCTCTGGCATGTCAGCTCCCCACGCCAGCAACCTTTCTCCGATTTCATCGGACGGTAGCTACAGCCAAGCTTCCGAGCACCAAAATGGCTCAGCTCGCCAGCCCAAGGCCATGGAGGATGGACCACTCATGCCTCCACAGCAGACCCTTGCTGGTTACGGCCAGACGAGGCAAATGTACAGCTCGCCAAATGAGTTTGGCAGTCAAGGTGCCTTGACGCCACTCGCACCCATCGCGGAAGTGCGATATTCGCTTGAGACCGATAGGGGCCACCGCGTAAGTTGAGCTCGCTCATCTCTACAGAGAGATGTGAATGCTAACCTACGTAAAGATGACGCCCACTGCCTCGTCTCGCGCGAGTTCTGCAAGCCTCCGTACCATGAGTGACTTGAGCACACCACAGCGCAAGATCACCGGCCCCAGAGCCATGGGAAGCAGGAGCCCACAGCCAAACAGCCCGCTGCAGCATTCAGATACCGTTGTCCGAAGGAAGCCTATTGAGGGTGAGTTTAACTTGTTGATGAACCTTTCAAGGAGCAGCACTGATGAAGAAAACAGATGATTTGGAGTCTCTCGAGAGCTACCGCAGCAGTCTCGACTCTGAGATCTTCTAGGCGAATGATCAAAAGCCCGGCATCTTATTTAATAGCATCAAGCACTCTGCAATTAGATGCTGGGCCAGAAGTGATGACAAGAATGGCAACTCACGATTTTCACGTCACGGTCGTGACAAGACGAAGACACGGCAGCAGTCCCGGCTTCGGCATGTTACTTTTGCTGAAGAGAATGGGAAGTAATGGATTTGGGGAAAGGACGAATGGCGGGGGGAGGGCTGGTCTAAAAGTCTCACAAAATATCTCCTTGGTTAAGTGTGGCTGTTCGTTCGTTTTTAACATAATTTTCGCATTATATCAGCTTGCGAGCATGGCGTCTTCTAGCGAGCGAAATTTTTACATAGCACTGCAACGACAAAGAGTATGAAGTCGACGGGAGTCTCGAGTGATTCATGATGAAGGGATGACCAACTTCATGCTTTAACGAGAGATGAGGAGTTTTTTTTCTGGATGTGTATAGCGGTACCAATATATCATGATACGATGGGGATTTTCTGTTTTACTTAGTGCTGATCATGCTGTGGTGAGGGATGTTGGGTTTTGTGTCATGGTTGTGGTGTTTGGTGCCTGAATGTCATCACCACACATATCAGTGCAGTAGATGACCAACATCAACAACGTGACCAGCCAACTACATGACACCTTTCCATTCATCCCCACAATACAGAGTCGCTCATCAGTGCCCTACAGGTCGAAATTTCCCCGCTACAGAGAAGATCACAAGTCTTCGGCCCGCTGTTATGAGGTCGCTCTGACATCATGGCAAAGTGTCCCCACCATACACCACTCCTTTTACATCATTATGCGCATCATGGTGTCTTCTTAGCTGAATACAAACAGATTTCACATCGTTATATAGATATCCTTTGAATCCCTCTTCACCTTACTCCATTCAAAAAAAAAACACATACATTTTGATTCCAAACATCATCTCCATCACTTCACCCTTCATAACAAGCCAATCAGTGAAAAACAAAAGAGAGAGATAAAACAACAACAACAACAACAAGCCATGTCTGAAGCCTACAAGAACAAAGATTTGAACGACCTCGCCCACAAAGCCGAAGCGGACGCAAACAGCCACGCTGCCAAGCAAGGCCACGCACACGGCGATTCCAGTACGTCCTCCTCCTTCCCCCCACCTCCCTGTCACACATTCCNAAAATGCTAAATCTTCTTTGTAACCTTTTTTTCAACAGCCATCGACTCAGGCATCGACTCTGCGGCGGCGGAGAAAAACTTTGCAGGCGCAAACGTAACATACGGGTCTGCAGCCAGCGGGGCGGGAAACAACCGCGATATCCCGCCTGAAGAAGGCGGCAATGTGGGGAGCAACGGCGAGGTGAGCAAGGCGGGGGATTTTGCGCGCGGAGGCGTGGGCGCGCCCGAGAAGAGGGAGGAGACGTTTGCGAGGACGCATGGAGGCGAGGATGAGGTTAGGGGGAATGTTAGGAAGTGAATTGGGGTGGTTTGGTGGTGGATGGGTAATAATGAATTTGCTATGAGTTTGTGTGTGTGTGTGTGTGTGTGTGTGTGTGTGTGTTGATATAGTTAGTCGTAGTGGTTTATTTTCATGTCATTTGAGATTGAATACTGGTCTATGTCTAGTTCTCTTCTTTTGCTGTGGGTTTTGAAAAATTGCAATATTGAAGGCGTAGATTATGTATTGCACATGGCTCAAAGAAAAGGGACTTTTGGTTTCTATATATATATAACAGTTAGAATACATGGCGTGGGTAACTGAAAATGATGGCTGATTTGATACCAGAGAGTGACTATCAGTACCGTTCTGCGATTCCTCTAAGGTCATCATCGTGAGGGTATATTAGTGAGTCATAGACAGATGAAAAACAATGCTCATGACTCAACGGTAGTGTATTGCTTGTTTGTTTGGACAAGGGGGCCGCAAGTCCTGGATGTTTCCTAAACATGTGTTTTCGTAAAGCATCTGAACGAGCAAAGATCTTTTGGCAAGCACTGCAGATGAGCGTTTTACCCATCGTCCGATGCACGCTCTTCGTATGCCTCCGAAGATTTCCTTTTCCGTATCTACCGGCGAAAACAACCTCGCATTGTACGCACCGAACTGATTCTGGATTGGATTCACTTTCCTTACTTGGAGGAAAGGAAGGAGTGGTGGGGGATGAATTCAGGGGAGGAGTTGGTGGAGCCACGGAAAAATATCCAGAGTCTTGGCTTGTACCAGAGCCCCCTGGATCGAAAGACTCTACTGGTTCAGCGGGGCCAAAATAGGGCGACATGAAATCGCTAGAGGTGAATGCGGAGCAATATATTGATCTTCGGGTGGATACGGATGAATCGTTGTCATGATTCATAGTCGAAACATCTGAGATAACTGTCAACCACCTGGTTCCATCATAACCTAGTTGAACCTCTTGGAGCCGTTCAGATCTGACCATCTGCTTGAGATACGAAGGTTCATCTTCTCTTGTGGAACCCTGTAGTTGTAACAGCGCAGTATCCGAAATGAGAGGAGACATTACTTCGGAATTGTCGCCGGGGGTGCCATGCCGAATGCTTGGGCTCATTCGGGTAGCCCGAGAGTTTCCTTCTATCTCATCGGTATCCATTTGCGTACTCGAATTCCGGTGATCCCTGACACCTGATGGCAACTGAGAATCTTGGGGCAGAGTGTCTATGTCCACCAACGCTCGCAATCTACCCATGTCCTGAATGCCGGAGTGGCTATAAGTATGCAGAGGGCCATGCTCGAACTCTGAAAATGCATCAAACGGGGCATTTTGATTTATTCCACTGGCAACAGACGAGGAAGTCTACTAACAACATCAATCAGACATGAAATCGACTAAATGCAGCTAACACTTACGTGCTGTGGCTCTATACTTGATTCCTCATCCTCAGAATCTGAATCGACAATGAGTTGGTAAGGTGTGAGGTAAGGCATAGCCTCGTTTTGGCTACACGGAATAGGGTCACCGACAAGAGGCTCGACTCCATCGTTATGCGGCGTGGGTGGGAGTGGAATGCTTGCACTGGGTCCTGGGAGCGCGGAAATATTGTCGTTTTCTTCTCGGATAGCACTTCCGATACCATTTTCGTAATTATTCGACAAAGAAGATGTGTGTGCTTCAAGATGTTGAGAAACCATGGCTGCTTCAACGTGATGATACAGTAATTGCCATTGCACTTGTGCATGGGCTTTCCTGCGTCCGATTTTCCGGTTGTTGCAAAGCTCTCCTTTGTAGCCATGTTGAGACTCGAATACCTCCTTGTCAATAAAATCTTCATTGCAAGTACGACAGAGCTTCAAAAACTGTAGCTGGGGTGTATACCCGTAGCCTGGACGTTCTGTCAAGTGGCGTCGCAACTCCGACATGTTCGCACTCTTCACGTTGTTGCAAGTGCGTGGCCAACCATGTCGAGTTTCCGCGACAAATACAGGACAGTCGAACCTACGGCTACTGAGACTCTGACCATTGAACATGGCGTCAATGGCTGTAGTTGCAGCCGAACTGAGAGTGTTGGGATGTTGCAAGTCATGCCAGAACAGTTCTGCACATACACCAGGCCATATCGCGTTCAGAACCCAAAATTCAACCCCGAACCCGGCGTCAATATAAGCAAGTGCCTGGTAGATTTGCTACAATGGTAGCTCAGTACGGGATCGAGGCTGCATTGGTGTCCGGCCATAAAAACACAAAGTATAAAAACACTTACATTCAAGGGATCAAATTGTTCATTGGGTTGTGGTGATTGATCTCCACCGCTTTGTATGGATGGATTTGACTCGTTTGAGGAAGAAGGACTCTGCTGCATTGGGAGGGCTATGGCGATGGAATATCTCAAAACACAACGAAGGACTCTTTAAAGACTGATGGACTTTTCCGATGAGGGGTAGCCTGGCTCTTTAAGCCGTTTGATTTTACTCCTCATTGGTGCATACATCGCTTAGTGTGAATTGGCTTGCATGAATGCAGGCTTGCCAGCATGCGGACTTGCGGACTTGTTCAGCTGCCTTGTTCGGTTGCCTTGTTGCCTTAATATCGTGCCGTGTGAGTGGATGAGAGGTGTGACAGAGGTAAAGTTACGCAGTTGGTTGGTACGTTAGATAGTACTATTCGCTATGACACGGGCCTAGTGAGTGGGCAAGCAGGCAAGCAGACCAGTAGCCAAGTAGTCAAGCAGGCAGGCTGTCATGTCAGAGAATTGCCAAGTGGACGGGGGCATGCTTGGATGCATGGTTGCTGAATTGCAATCTTACATAGAAATACAATGATGTAGTCACAGCCCAAGCTCTTATGGATCAGAGCTGGTACTTGTACAACGAGTTAGAACTTTTGTATAGTGATGAGAAGTTGTCGAGGTTTGTGGGTGGGATAATAAAGTTGGAAGGCACCTGTGTTGTGCCTGCGAAAGTACAAGGCCAAAACAGAGGCTACGTCACATTAACAACCACAGCCCCAGGCTGAGTACAGCATAATTAAACCCAAATAAACCTTAACCGCATTTGTATTCCTGTTTTAAACATCCATCTTCTTTCTTTACTCATTTTCAGAATCTGAAGTTGCGGTGTCGCTAAGCATGATGATCAAGAACGATTATAACGATGCAATGACATAACTAGAAGGGGTATCAACGCAATTCATGCCATAGGCAGAGAACAAAGCACTGCGCCATTCACACGCACAGTTGAAAATCTATGCCCATACACCGAGTGTCCAGCTAGCCCTCTCTCCGCCTTTATTAGCCAGTCCAGGGCCCATGCTTTGTCTCTGTGCAATAACTGAAACTTCCTTTTCACGAGATGCACCTTGCAAGCCATCTCTAAGGTATCTGTCGCGCTCTACCTCGACGATTCCCTTGATGCGTTGCTGAGCAATTAGGCTAGCACCTACCCATGGGCCCAATGTCTCGACGCCTCTGAGAACACCACCCACCAGGCTTGCAGGTGGTGGGCCATTGCGAAGAGTCATGTGGGCCAATTTCATGTCTATAGCGTCTTGCTCATGTGGTTGGAATGCTGCCGGCACTATTTGCAAAGGGTCATCTGGATCGAGGGAAGATGCTACTGTATCCCCGCCTTCTTGTTTACGCATCTCTAAACTCTCCCGTTGGTTACGTAATTTTTCTTCTCGGCGCGCGCTTGCTTTTCCATAACTCTTCACCGGATCCCAGCCTCTTGATTGCGCCAATGCATCCAGCTCCTTCAGTATACGGGTCTTGATTCCGGGAAGATTTGACACTCCGCCTGTGATGATTATGCGTGACATGCACAACCGGCGGACGTCGACTGGAAGTTGTACAAGAGTACGGTATATGAGGTGGTGCAGCGGGAGGTCTTCATCGTCGAATTCGCTAATTGACAACTCTGGTGCAAAGAGAGCCGCATCTGCGGGCTTGGCGAGTGACGCAAAAGGTATCGTAAGGTCTGTTGGAGGCGTATGTTTGGGAAAAGGGATTGTGACGGTGGGTGGTGGTGACTCGATAGCGTCTTCGAATTCTTCGAGCACGGGTGCCTCTCGTGCGGGAAAGTAGACGGTTCTCCGATTCGATCTAGCAATGGGTTTGCACCACCCAACACGGGTGAGAACCTCTTCGACTTCTTCAAAGGATACATCGGCTTTGGGTGCACCGGGCTCGGCATTGTCTAATTCAGCATTCAGCAGCTTGGCCATCTCTTCGCTCAGCATCTTGCCTGCCCGCACGCTGCGCCTTTCAGACACTTCGCGGTACTCGTATACTGTCGTGACCAGTGTTTCGGCCCAGCCTATATCCACAACCAAGGCTGAGCGCAGTCCTGCTGCTACAGCCGAGAGTACGGGGGTAGACATGAGGCTGATGCTCGGGGCTTGGAAGCTCGTGAACAGCACATCCATGACAGTTGATATGAGCGCGTGGGGCATACGAGGCGGCATGGCCAGTAAGACGCGGCGCGGCTTTGTATCCAGCAAGAAGTACTTTGTGTATGCCTCGCGCATAGCCCTCTCGAACTTGTCTTCAACCAAGCCCAGGTCCACCTTGGTCAAGTCGAGGCGGTATAGCTCATGCCGTTCTCCCCACTCCTCGTCCTTGTTCCGCTTTGGTCTCTTCTGTGTGTATTCCGGGTCCCACTGCCTGTAGTCGCCCACCCTCCGCTGGTCTTCAGGCCCGAACGGGATGGTGCATCGCGGGGCACTTTCTCCAGGGAAGCCACCACGCACAAAGCGTGAGCCGACCTCAATGACGATAAATTCGTCTTCGAAGCGGAACGAGCCACCGGGAGAGCCAAAGGTAGACGAGATGGAGCGGAGGAGCGGGGTTCGCGGGGATTCTCCCAGGTCAGCAAGACGAGGGGTGTTTCCCCGTGTGCTGCGATTGAGGGAGCTCGAGACTTTGCGTTCGCCGCCAGACGACATGGCGGAGGCGAGGGGTGAGCGCAGTGCAATGGGCCAAACAGAAGACTTGCTTGCATGTGCTGTTAGCAGTCGGGACGTCGCTCTATCCCGGTAAAGCAGGCTAGTTCGTTCTTGGACTAGCGTTTTGCTGGTGGCCCGAGCTCAGGAAAAAGTTCGAGCTGGGATGGATTCTGCACGTCCAGAGCTTGCGACAAACCCCATCGCGACTTCCCACACTCCGTCCAAATCAACCTTCCAGGGCAGTTGCGCTCCGCGAATCGCGAATCCCACTGGACCCTTCCCTACGCCCGAGTACACGCACAATGGGTCTTTTTATTCTCTCGGAAACCTCGGCGGGTTATGTCCTTCTCAAGTCCAAGGACAAGAAGCTTTTGGGCGGAGACACAAAAGATTCCTCGAGCATCGCCGAGCAGCTGAAGCTCAAGAAGTTTGCCAAGTTTGGCAGCGCCGTCGATGCGCTTGAGCAGGCTGCCGCTCTTCACGATGGCAAGGTCACACCCATGCTGTCGTCGCTGCTTGACGAATTGAAGGATGAGACCAAGGCTACTTGTATGCTGCTCCGCGAACCTTTTGTGCGAATTGTGTAGCTGACATTGCTTCAAGTGGCTGTTGCCGACCCCAAGCTCTCCAATGCGATTGCTCAACTCCCAGGCCTTTCCCTTAAGACCGTCTCAGACTCCTCCACACAGGATGTATTCCGTGCCATCCGTGAAAACCTGTCTTCACTCCTTCCCGACCTACTTCCCTCTGAGGAAGCCGCGACTCGCCTGGGTCTTGCTCACTCCCTGTCGCGACACAAGCTGCGATTCTCTCCTGACAAGGTCGACACTATGATCATCCAGAGCATTGCTTCTCTTGATGTCCTGGACAAGCAGCTCAACACCTATGCTATGCGAGTCAAGGAATGGTATGGCTGGCACTTCCCAGAGCTTGCCAAGATCTTGAACGACAACTTGGCTTACTGTAAGTCTTTAATTCACCTGGCCTCGATGCTCTGCTAATTTTTGTAGCGCGTGTTGTTTTGAAGATGGGCTTCCGCACAAACGCTCGCCAGAGCGACCTCTCCGACATTCTGCCCGAAGAAATTGAGGTCAGTTTTTGGCAACTTGCCATTTTACAAACACCACTAACAAAATTCAGGCGGCTGTCAAGGCGGCTGCAGAAATCTCCATGGGTACTGAAATCACAGAAGAGGATTTGGAAACCACCTCCGCTCTCGCCGAACAAGTTGTCGATCTGACCGAGCACCGTCAAAATCTTGGAAACTACCTGTCAAACCGTATGCAGGCGCTTGCTCCTAACCTGACTGCTCTAGTTGGTGAGCTTGTTGGCGCGCGCTTGATCGCTCACGCCGGATCTCTCATGAACCTTGCCAAGTCGCCCGGTTCCACCATCCAAATCCTCGGTGCTGAGAAGGCCCTCTTCCGTGCTCTCAAGACAAAGCACGACACACCCAAATACGGTGTAAGTACCTAATGTTCTGGATCAACCAGGCTTGTGCTGACTCGCCTAGCTCATCTACCATGCATCTCTCATCGGTCAAGCTACCGGAAAGAACAAGGGAAAGATTGCCCGTATGCTCGCTGCCAAGTCCGCCTTGGGTCTGCGTGTCGATGCCCTTAGCACCTGGGGTGTCTCATCAGAGGACACTTCCAAGGAGCCTACCGAAGAAGAGAAGTCCCAGATTGGTCGCGACGCACGCCTGACTATTGAGAGGAGACTGCGCGCACTCGAGGGCAAGCCATTGAAGAGCTTGGCCAACGCCAACCAGACTGCGCTTGGTGGACAGAAGAAGTGGGAAGTCAAGGAGGCGCGGAAGTACAACCCCGACGCCGATGGTCTTACTGGCGACGAGCCCGCTGCTGATGCGCCCAAGTCGGCCAAGGCCAACGGCACACCCAAGAAGTTGGTGCAAGAGGTCGACAGCGATGGTGATGAGAGCATGGCCGACGCCGATGCCGCCTCAGAGTCAGACTCTGAGTCAGAAGAAAAGCCAGCTGCAAAGGACAAGGCGGCGAAGAAGGCAGCAAAGGAAGCCAAAAAGGCACGGAAAGCAGAGCGAGCCGCTAAGCGCGAGGCCAAGTTAGCCAAGAAGGCAGCTAAGGAGGCAAAGAAGGCAGGCAAGGACAGCAAGAAGCGGAAAGCAGAGGGTGGTGAGGACAGTGGGGAGAAGAAGAAAAAGAAGAAGAAGAGCAAGGACTAGACGCGCCATGAATTGGGGGAGGGGAAGGAGAAAAGAAATGATGGCTATTGTATCCCTTTTTCAGTCGCCATCTCTTCTCTTATTCTCTCATCTCCCTTCTGACACTACATGACAGAAAACCGGGGGGACAATATGGCGTTGATGATCTGGGTTTGAGCTTGTTCATATATTTTTCTTGGGCGAGTGGCGTAAATCTTTTTTTTCCTTCTTCTTCTTCTTCTTCTTCTGTGTTTAGGGGTGTCTGGGCATATTCTTGTGTAGTTTTACCTTGACAAAAAGGTCCTTTCTTCACGTTGCATGATGGGGATGCGGTGGGATGGATACCCGCCAGCTGGTAGCATACAATTACATGTTCGAAAAAAAAGTTTTTATGCCTTTGGTTTTAATGCCGTGTCGATTGATTTATTCTCCATTGTTCAGTCTCATGCCCATCTGGATGACCGAAAAAAAAATACTCCTAGTTTCCTTCTCTATTTGACTCGCCACATTTTTTTTTTCTCTCCTCTCCCTCTCCTTCTTCACCATACTCTCAAACCTTCCTCTTAGCCTTCCTCTTCTTCTTATTCGCAGCACCAAGCAACTTGTTTGCTATCTTGGGCATGTCTACATGCTCGACTCCCTGCGGAATCTGTGCTTCCTCCTCATCAAACACCTGCTGGATGATAGCCAGCATATCGTGTAGTTCGTCTTCTGTAAAGCGGGTACCCGCCTATACATCTCTATCAGCCTTGTCCGTCCCTCTGCCGAAATAAAAAAAAATTAAGAGTGCAGAGTCACGTAAAAAGTTGGAAGATAAAAGGAAAGGAATGAAAGGGGGAAAAGGGAGCGCACCTCTTCAACAACCAACTCGAGCATAACCTGCGTGGTCGGTCTCAAGTTATAAATCTGCAGATACTCCGCCTTGTTCAGTCGGTACTTTGGTGCCAGGGCGCGAAATAGGCTGTTAGGTCCTTTGTACAGTGTCATGGGCCTGTTTGGATGCGCATCTGCGAGCGCAGTGGTGGTATAGTCGGGGGTTTGCAGGTAGGCGAGTCCATCGCGCAGCACGTGAGTGAGGCCAGAGGGCTTCTTGCGCTTGCGGTTTGTCGAGTCGGTTCCCGTGTATTCTGCTTCTTCGGCGAGGAGATGCAGAAGGACTTCGTGGTTGGTGAGGAGGGCGGATTGGGGGGTTTTGATCTAAGTAGGTATGTGTGTGAGTGGGAGAGTGAGTTTCCATGGCGTGAGGAAAATGTTGAGGTTGTAGTGAATGTTATCTCTTTTTTTTTCCTTCTCTTCTTTACTCCATTCACTCTTGGGCTTCCAGTCATCTACTTACATGCATGGTTATGATTGGATGGTATTTTTTTTAATGACCAGTTTGCTGCTCAGACAAACGCAAGTCACGGGATCTTCAAATACACTGACTGTGTCCTATTCGTGAGTCAGTCTTGTCATGTAATCCCTCACACCATTTGTTTTTTCCTCGAACAGCAAAAACAAGAAAAATCCCGATGGTGCATGGAAAGTTCGGCGAATTGACTACACGTCTTTATCATTTTGATTAACTTTCTGCATCGTGGCATGCATGCAAAGTAGCCGCAGCCAGTAAAAGCACACATAGTCTGATAAGAGATGATACGTACCCACTTGGCGAGGATGAAGCTGTAGGTGATTTTGGGGCCACATGCGCAGTCGAATCTAGCCTCGGACGTTGCAGTGCTTTTGTAGTGAGCAATGTTCAGAGGTTCTACATGGCGTTGCGGGTGGACCGTGATAGAGAAGGAAAAGGTTAGTACAAGGCAGATTTTCGCGCTAAGGGCTTGGCGCTTCCAAGGGCTAGCTATTGCCGCAAGGCAAAGGACGAATATTGCAAGGCTCATGTTCACAATCACGACAATTTTCAGCACTACTACATCCATGAGACATGAGTAGAGAATAGGGTCCGAAATCGTTACTGTATCTTCATAGTCTAAATCATCACTGGGTATTACGATTAAATCTTCCTTTTTTTTGTACTGTTCCAGACAGATCTCAAATGCTGCTAACGCCGCGCAATGCTATGCAGAGAATGGGAGTACTCGCAAGGTCGTCGAAAAAGGAAATCTGGAGATTCGTGGGTGCAAATGCCCTAGTCGTCATGCTTCGAGTTGGCCCCCCCCCCCTTTGGACCTTCGGTAGGCTTATGCCCATGATGTTATTGGTCTGCTGTTGTGGTAACTTTGGTTTTCTTAATTATGAAGACGCCCACTTCGACACCCTTGGTGGGCGCTCCATCTTGATACTCTCGTTTTGATACGCCATCAAGGACATGCTGGATAAGCGAGGCAGCGCTCATTTCACCCATGGGAAGCTTCTTGGATTTGTTGAAGTACTTCATGACGACGTCTCTCACACGAGGCTTTTCTTGTTTAATCCACCAGTCGTCTGCCCATGCTGATCTTTCTAGTAAAATTTCCTCTTTTGCGGCATGTATAACTTGGTACGCCGCTTGCTTGTCAGCCCTTATGTGCCGCTCACTCATTGCGTGACAAAATCTTCGTACTTGGATTTCCAGATGCTCATACACATCGAGGTAATTGACCGAGCCCATCTGACCTATATCTCTTCCCAGCTCCGAGTGAAGTTCGTGCACTACCGTCACAGAGCGCAATAGCGGATCGAGGATGGGTCCGAGGTACTGTCTCATGAACGTTTTTGCGCCTGTTTTTGTTGGGTAGATGAAGAGCAAAATACCATTGTCACTGGAGAGTTCGATCAAGCGATCGTACAACAAGGACCGGCCGTGGAATGTAAACATTTCAGCATATTCGTTTGTATTCGTGGGGGGGATGTATCTTTCGACGATTGATATGTTGATGCTTCCTGGGGGCACTACAGGTCTAGGGGATGGGGGCAAAAGTTTCGAGTCGAGCTGGTAGTCGGGTATGGCGACTGCACTGTCAAAGACCTTGCTGGTAAAGTACGAGTCACCTCCGACTGCAGGGCCTGGGGTTGAAGGGGGCGACTTGGGCAAGTCAAGGAGGGTATAGCGTCCAGGGAGAGCATGGAATACATTGATCCATGATGTGTGGGTCGAAGAAGCGTCGTGAATCGAAGCAATGACGTCGCCAAACACATGGCCCGCTGTAGAAGGACAAGGAAGGGCATGAGAAAGGATTCTGACAGAGTCTAGGCCTAGACATCCGGATTCGTGAACTTGCAGAGTTTAGTACAACAAAAAAAACGAGTTAAGGATGGGTAAAGAGGAAGAAGGGACCGATGACTTACTGATTGTGCTTTTGGCCATTTCGATCCATGTAGCCATTCCCTGTGCTTCGGGGAGTGGCGCGTGAGTTGGGACGATGATTTGTGCTTGGGGAGGAGCTAATTCACGAGTGGTAATGTTTGTACTGGGCGAGACACCTGGATCCGAGTGGGGAGGCGAGCCTAGTGTAGCAATACGAGGGTTCATAAAAGAACCCCAGTTGATGGTTCCTGGCTCCGAGTCCGAAGGGGGCGTGTGGGTGGAGAGAGAAGGGCCCACGCGTGCTGTTGCTGCCTTGGGACTGGTGACGGGGGTGTGAAGGAGGGCGGCCGTGGTGTGGTTGTTAGAGTTGTGAGGCAGCGGGCTGAGTGCATGGAGAGGGTCTTCTGGCTTTGATAGTGGCCCCGCGCCTAGTGGAGAGAAGGGCAGATCAGGTTGCGCCAGAATATGGTCCGGGTGGGGCGCGGCGATACCCAGGACATGGAACGATGGCAGGCGTAGATTATGCTTTGCCTTTATTGTTGGCGGAGGAAGCGAAGGGCTACTTTGAGGTAAATTGAGGGTCAGATCGACATGTGGACGATCCTCGGTGATGGGCGTGGTGAGAGGCTGGGGTAAGGCGGAAGGCAGCGGGAAGGGCTGCGGCAGGGAAGCGTCGAGAAATGAAGAAAAGGTGTCGGGAACCACGTTGTCGGAGCAGGGAGCCGCTTGTGCTGCTTCATCCGGCGTCTGTGGGATGGAGCTGGGAAGGGGTTCGTGGGGCTGGGACGGGAGTTGGGAGGGGAGAAGGGTGGTGGTGTCAGCATGGAGCTGGTCGAAGACTTGGGTCCGGGGATTGGGATCGGTCATGGCAAACGTCGATTGTGATGTTTGCAGGCGACCAAGGCGCAGCGCAGTCACGCTACCTGCCCTGGGCGGGCGGGAGAGACTGATAGACTGGCGGACGGACAGGCGCACGGAGACGTGGCTGGAGGATCTGGCGGCCAGGAACCAAAACCGCTTGACTAGCTTTTACTGCGGGGCGGCAATCAACGGGCGTGGGGAGGAAGACGACAGCAAAGACGAGGGGAGTGGGTATGGGTATTGGGGGGAGGTGAAGAGGCAGGGCGGTGCGAGGGAGCGGTTGCCAAGGCCTGGCCCAGAGTGCGACCAGGACAGGACAGCACAGCACAGCACAGCACAGCACAGCACGGCAGCGGGGAAGCAGCAGCAGCAGGATGGATGGAGGGATGGAGGGATAGCAATGGAATGGTACATGGAGGGAGCGAGAGAACGGGCGTGTAGTGGCTGACCGTGGGCCCACGGATTCAACACCCGGCGCTGGCGCTGCAGTGGATGCTAGTGCGTGTGCAGACGCCAGGGTCTCAGCAGCGGGAGTTCTAGACCCCGGCCTCGAGAGCATTCAGATGGATCAGAAATGGGCTGACCAACAGAGTCGTCTGCCCGCCCCCAAGCCCGCAGGCAGGCCAGCAGGGCTGTGGAACGGTTGGACCGGTCCTGCCTGACAACCAAGTACATGCTCCCCGGTCCATACGGCCACAGTACACCCATGCCCCATACCTGGCCATCGATGTCGGTGCGTGTCCTGGGTAGTCGACATGTACTTGGATACTTACCGTGTCTCCAACCATCCTTACATACTAAGTACGTACACGTCCCGCTCCCCTCGCTCGTGCACGGCAAGGCCCTATGTCCCTACCCGACACCAGCTAGCGCCTCTATCTGATGCATCGCACGCATGCAGCTGCAGCCCACTAACAGTCTGGACAAGAGCGCCGCATCCCTTTCGGGCCTGTTCTCGGCTGCCATGCTTGACTTTGCACACGACTGCTGGCTTTGCCATGCCAGACGCCAGATGTAAGCCCTCCGTTTGGGAAGCCAGTCTATGCGAGTCTAGACGCCTCCACTCTCCTTCTCTTTTGCTGCTGCCTAGCGCCAATTAAGCGACCCTATCCCGCCCTCTCTCTCTCCTCTTCACTCCTCTCCTCTCCTCTCCTCTCCTCTCCTCTCCTCGCCCTCCCCGTCAGCCCGGACTCCGAGCATTCAACATCACGCTGCCCTTTGCCTGCTCCATTAAGGTTCATCCCCTGTCCATACTTGAAACCGCTCCTCTTTGCTGCCGAATGTGCGGCCGATCAGTCTGCTGCGCGTCAGCCGCCAGGGCCTTGCCAAAGCCACTAGTCGACTACCACCCTGGACCTAACTACACCACTCGGCATTGGGAAAAAAAGGCGTTTGGCTCAATCGTCCCGTCATACCATGTGACAAACGGCATGCACGTCCTTACTCTACATTGCTGCTCCACGACACGTTCATTTCAATCACTACAGTTTTTTTTCCCCTCCCCAGACAACTGGCTTCTTTTCTGTTGGTTGTCTTTCAATCCATCCCCCCCCCCCCAAGTCTGGCACTCATCACCAATTCCACAAACCCATCATCCCCCAGAACCCTAGGTATCGAACTTGCAAAACATCAGCATCTGCCCCTCCTGTTTGCTGCTCACATCACACTTACCTGCCACTTCTGCAGCCCTCTCTCCCGCGCCCCTCCCTTTGCTGCCCCGCTCGATCGACTTGCCATCTTGGGCTCATGCCGTTTTACGTACTCTTGCGCCAGGATGGGACATGCTTTTTTGTGTGCTTTGAAATGTGCCTTTTGACACTCCTTGTTGCAGTAGGCTACGCTGTGGCATTTTATGCACTGCTTGAGTGAGTCTGCCGATTTGCCGCATTGACCACACGCTGCTGCTGGTGACACTTGATGACTTGCTGAAGCCGCCGACTCTGCCTGCGTCTCGCTCGACTCTGCTGCCGTCGTGTTTGATGCCTGTGGCTGTGTGTCAGATGCATCATTCGTGCTGGCGCTAGGTTCTGCCATCATGTATGCCAGACGGAGTGGGAATGCTGGACAAAAATATTTGGTTTGCTACGAGAGATTCTCGGGTCAATGTGCGACTTTGCACTGCGGGACTGTCAAAGTTCGATGATCGGTATTTGACTTGCAGGGATCTGCCGTTGGCGAGCCCGCTAGTCCCATCTGGCATTAGCCCTTCCGGTCCCATTTTCTACGTGCTAAAAGTTTGCAAATACTAGGCATGGCTGCCCATTGCATGCAGCCAGCAATGCAGAGATCACAGTGCATGATATCCACCCCAAGAAATTGCAAGCGTATTGAAGCAAGGATACCAGCATCGGAAAAACAATTTCCTCATCTCCTGCTCGTATCGAAAAGTATACCCCTGCCAACGTTTCAGCCACAATGCCAGTATCAACAAACATACGCGTTTCCCAAGCCACAATCAAACGTAATTCCTTCAGCCTTTGCTTGCCGGCTTCCGATCCAGTTGGCTGCATCTTAGGTGCTCAAATAGAAGAGTGGACGCCTAAAAGCGCACTGCAACGGGCCGAGCAGATGCTATATCCGGCCACTACTGCACGGCGGACATTATACATGAGCTGAAATGCCAGTACGATACATGTGCATGCTACGCTACAGAAACCTGTGGCCGAATTCACCATCTTGTGCAGGTCTACTTGGCAGGCTTTGTCCCAAATACTCCGCGCAGCACCCTCGTAGCCAAGACCTTGTCCATGTTACTACCTCGAATCGGCCCGTTGTTCTTCCATTTGGTAAACCCCTAGTAATGCCAATACCTGGCAACGGCATGCACATGTTGTGTGACAACCAGAATGCAACTATTCGTGCAGCTACATGGAAGGCTCCGATTTAGTCAATCAAGCGGGTTGCATTCCTGTTGGTCAATGGCGGTGAGATTAGACTTTTTTTAAAAAAAAAATGTATGGAGAAGCAGCATGCCCGGAGATTTCCCGAGAAATTCTCCATTTTGAGTTCAAATCCACGGAACAGACATGTGAAAGATGTGTTTGAGCTGTTTGTCCAACCTTGGACTTCGGACTTCGCTACAAGCAAATGCTTGGATAAAGTGTTTGTCCGGACATGGCGGGCGCCACACTCCCTATCGCTACGCAAAGTCCGATACCGTGAGACCACGACATCGCAACATCAACAAGGTTAACAATTTGTTTTGCTTTCACGAATAGATAACCAGATTCAACGAAAAAAAAAGGATAGCGAGATACGGTTCAAATACAATCATCATGTCAAGGTAAACTACTATACCTTTGACCTCCATGTCTCGAGCAACAAGGGCAATAATTACTTGACAATTAGAATATCCCACAGAAACGTTGATAAACAAATACCCAGCGGCATACACGTAAACTACCGCCACCCCGAAAAGCCACTTCCGCCATGCTCCCCAGTGAAACCCCCCATTGCACCAGACTTCACCAGCAATCTCTCCACAAAATCACAACAACGGAGATTGCAAGTCCCCCCTAAAAGGAACACGGTGTTGCAATGCAACCTGTAATTGGAGACAAAGATCCGTCTCAAGCAGCCACATACCACACCTCCCTCACCCTCCTCTTCACCACCACAACACATGTACACGCGTCTTTCTTCTTCATCCCAATAACCCAGCCATATTTAACACCACCTCCTCCAACCCACCCCAGCACCACCACCACCTCTCCAAACACCATCTCATCAAGCAACGAAAACAAAAATCTTTACAACCAAACCATGTTTCTCCGCGCCCACCTCTTCCTCCTCCCCACCCTCCCCCTCACCCTCGCCCTCGTCGCCCCCGCACCCCGTCACCCACCCTCCCCGCACCTCCACAGCCCAGGCGACTGCAAGCCCACGACCACAGTGACCAAAACCGTCACCGTTACCGTGCCCATCTACGCGCCGACGGGCAATATCTCAGTGACGTTTCCGAATACGACTGTTGCGAGTACGAGCACAAGCGGAGGGTTGGATCCTATTACGTTGATTACACTGTCGAGTGCAACGAGTGAGGGGGCGACGGCAACGATGACGGATGGGGGATTGGATCCTGTTACCTTGATTACTTTGCCTACTGCTACGGCTACGGCTACGTCTGTTGGTGGGTCTGTGGGAGATGGAGGGGATGCAGGGGCGGCGCCGACGCCGAATGATATTGCACCCGTTACGTTGATTGATATTAGTACTGCGGTACCTATTTAACTGGGAGGGGGGGGGGGGGGGGTAATGGGGAGGATAGAAGTAGTGTGTTGTAGGGACGAGAAAAAAAAAACATCTGTTGAAATAAATTTCTTTTGAATCTTTTCTTGATATACATGAGGAGAGGCTCAATGACATGTTTCGTATAGCTCTGCGGGATCCAAGCGCATCGACGTACTGACTTTGCTGCTTCGTCTCACGTGTTTGCGTCCTATCGGCCTAAAGTTTGAAGTTAGCATTTTTCTTCCCTTGTTCATCCCATTCATCCACCACTCAAGTACACTCACCCCCCCCACGGGTTAGAATAAGAAAGAGAGAAATAAAAACTCACGCATCCCCAACAACCTTCCTCATAACCAAACTATCCACCCACTCCCCCTTAATCATCTCCTTCTCCTTAGTCAAGCTATGCCTCTCAAACCCCAACCGCTCCGCCAACTTCCAACTCGCCTCATTCCTCGGATCGCATTCAATCTCCATCTCGACCTTGCCCACATCCTGAATCCTCTCCTTAATCGCCGCGATAAACGCCGTCATGGCCTCGGTCGCAAAACCTTTGCCCTGGTACTCGGGTAGGAAAGAAAACCACAAGTCGGCGTGGGTAACGGGCTTGATGCTGGATTCGCCGGGAAGCTTGTCCGAGTTGGCCTGTGACGTCTTTGCGCCCACGCGCCCGATGAAGGTGGCCGTGTCGAGGGTTTCGACTGCAAGCTCGTAGATGGTGCGTGGCACATCGTTGTGGTTGCGGATGTTCTGCAGCACCAGCTCGCGGGCTTGCTGGGAGGTTCGCGGTGGCCAGGATTGGTAGCGGGCGTTTGCCTCGCTGGATTCGAGCGCGTAGTAGCCTGCTATGTCTTGTGTGACGAATTCGCGGAGGAGCAAGCGGCCTGTTTTGATTGCGCCGAAGCGTTCGCCTTTGAGGTTTTGGCGGGCAATCGAGGCAAGTTCGTCTTTTGTGAAGGATTGCGAGGCTGAGAGGATTTTTTGGATTACCGTGCTTTTGGCGTAGACGTAGTCGACAATGTTGGTCGAGGTGGCGGCGAGTTCGAGTTTGACGCGGGCATACTCGTCTCGCAGCTCGCTGTTTGTGCGCAGCGTGTCTCGGAGGTTGAGGTGGTTGCGGGTTTGGACGGCGCCGTCTACACATACGTAGATGTTGTGGGGGATGGGCTGGTTGGGGTCTTTGAAGGCATGGCGGTCGATGACTCCGAGTTCTCCTAGGTGGTCCAACTTGCCCTTTGTGGTCAGAGCATCAATAGCTGACTGCAAGTTATCGCGAGAGACAACCACGTCAACATCGATAATGGGTTTGGCAGCTAGTCCTGGCACTGATGTGCTACCCACGTGCTCGATTGAGAGGTAGTCGACGTCTCGCAGGTGATTCTCCAACTCTGCCTTTATTTTTTCGAACTGCTTGGGCCATTCCTCGTTGTACTGGTCGACAGTGACAGACATAGTTTTGGGGCTTGGAAAAAGGCAGTAGAGCTGGAAGAGAGGAGTCAAGGGCTAGATGTGTAGATGTGGGCTGTGCAGAGGAATGGGTGAGCTAGGCAACATCATTGGCTGGAACCCGTACACCCACCCGGGTGCGCCCGCGATGCACAAACCAGAGCAGCGGTGCAAGCGGGACATGTAGGAAAAAAAAAGGGCGGCAGGTGTGCAGCCATGAGTGCAACTGCAGTGTTGAAGCCATACAGGCAGCCAAGAGGGCATGTGCACACGTCGGGATGCATTGCGGAGATAGCGGCAACAGTTCCGAACCACTTGATTAGATTGCGATCCAATGCTCCCCAACTCTCCGACTCTAATCATACTGCTCAATCTTGATCACTGGGATGTCTGCATATGCCGGCGGCGCATGGCAGCCCAACAACCAAGACTCGGCGGCTGAATCCTGTATCTGCTGCCTGAGCTGCCAAATGCAACGTGCCACAAGAATGCTAGCCGCAAGTAGCAGCGACAGAGGGAGCAGCATATTGCTTTGTGAAGAGCCAGACCAAAGCGCGCCTAGTTTGCCAATAGCCACATTCCACGTCCTTGCCCATGTGCCAAATTTGCCATAGTCGTCCCACTCGTTCGGGTCAAAGGCGGTTCGTATCATAGCCAGCCTGCCGCACTTCATCCTGGGCGGCTGAACACGGTCCTTTTCTCCAACGACTTGTACACTTGCAATCGAAAGGGCATGGTCGCACCCTTTTTGGCCTGGGGTCTCTGGACGACTGTGTTGCTCACGCAGCAGCACCTGTAAGACTGTATGGCCCAATTGGAATGGTGCAGCCTCCTCTCCCCAGGCAAGACCAGTCACATTGAACTGGAGCCATACCTCTCCGTCTCCTTCGGCTCGGAACACAGTGTGTTCATACTGCAGTGGAAACCTGATTCTCTTAGACATGCCCTCCTTGGCTTGCTCATTTGCTTCGTCTTCAGCGAGATCTGTCGGCACCTGCACGGCACTAATGCGCAGAGGTAACGGATCAAGAGGAAAGACGCGCTCATCATTGAGAAGCAGAGCAGACCCCGACTTGTCAATGGCAAGTGTCAACATCTGTAGTATTGTCAGCGCGGCTCGCCCATGCGCCGCGACAAGATGTGCTCACCAAGGAGTTTTGAGGAGGCGGATGGATCCATTCTGCTGCATGAGGAGTCTTCAATACGCCAAAAGGACATCCGGCACATCCATACTTGACTGCATAGGTCTTGTTCGCGTCGATCACGGTGATTAATGGGGCCGTTTCCTCGACAGCCGGAACATGGATCTCTTCAACCTTGTGTTCGAGAGACGACGACGCGGTGACAACAGCCGCAATACCAAAAAGAGCAAAGAAACGCATGATTACATGAAACGAGTGTGAACAAAGAAAACTAATGAGAGACTGAGGGTCAAGTAAGAGAGTAGAGGAGATATTGTTTAAAGGGGAAAGAGAGAGAGAGACTGCCCAAGATGGCGGAGAGATGACGCGTGCGGATGCCTCGGTCAACGGCACGCTAGCGCAGGGACCGTCAACGTGGGGATTGTCAATTCTAGATTCATGGCGATCATTCATCCCCGGACTCTTGGTCACGAACAGGCAAAATCCATGGCGGACGGCATTGTGCCTGAGATTGCTACACAATTTGCCAAGATACCACAAGTTTCATTCGTGGTTGGCAAAGGTAAAAGAAACGTTGAGCACGTGAATGACTTGTTGCTGTAAGAGTACTTGCAAATATGCATGTGATGACCGAACGCGTGGGCTTGCTATTTTTAGACTGGAGTAGTTCATTGAGTTATACAAGGTCTGAGTTCATATGTTATCATTAAGTGCATGGTTATGCAGTCTATCTGCCCGCAACACGGCAGGACCCGTCATCATTTCAATAGCCAAGAAAATAAGGGTCACTGCTCATGCAGCCATTTGTGCCTGCGCAAGGCCTGTCATCCCGAGATTCTTCGCTTGTATATGGAGAAGATGGATGAAACGGAATATCCATAAGATGTACCATGGCGGGTCAGTCCCATCATCTCCTGTAGCTTGACTGGTTGCGACTTCTTGGTCGCACATCGTCTTTGGTCGGGCGCTGAGGTTAGAATAGATGAATGGAAAGCAGAGCGTGATTTTCACTCCTCTTCGCTTTCTTCACTACTATCTCCACCTTCCAGTCCTCTCCTCATCAACTCTTCTAGATCGTCTTCGTCATCATCGGCGGGAATTTCTGCAATTGCGCCGTGTTTGTGGTCGTGACTGGTCGTATCTGGCTGTACAGGAGGTCCAATATCCATGGGCTCGACGTCTCTGTCATTGTACTCGTACTCTTCTGCATCCTCTTCTTCCTCATCGTCATCGTCGCCTTCAGCATCATCACCGCCCAAATCACCAAAGTCAATCTCATCCTGTGTGTTCCGGTTGCGTGCGTGTGGGTTAGGAGAGCCCTCTACGTCGCTGTTGGCTGCGCTGGCAAGAGATATGGGGCCATTGGATGGCGAACGCATATATCCAGCACCAAGGTTGTGGCCCAGACTGCGAGCTGCCAATGCGCCGTTCTTGCGCCGTGGTGGGCGCGCATCGGGTACTTCGATTTCGAGACCGCCGTCGTCATCTGATTCATCCTCTGCCTCATCTTGGTCGTGGTGGTGCCGCTGGTTTTGTTCAGGCGCCAGGGATGGGGGCGCTGGCGAGGATGCAATTTCGCCGTCGGACTCGTCGGATGAGTGTATCACCTCGGCAGATTTGATCTTGGAGGCGGGTGGTGCGGTGGATTTGCCCTTTGGCTTGGCGGCAGGTTCTGTTGCTGTACGTTGAAGACGGACGGCCGGTGGTGGCTGAGCCTTTTTGGGCTTCACCATAGGGTTTGTGGTCGTAGTCTTGCGCTTCTTGGGCGCAGCAGCTGCAGCGGGCTTCCGCACGGGAGCAGCAGCGGGGGGCGCGCGAGCCCCAAATTGCGGTGTATGAGCCGCGCTGCCTGTGCCGGCTCGGTGCTCTGGCGATGATGCATAGCGGTAGTCGGACTCGTCCCCTCTCTTCGCCTTTTCCTTGCTCAAAAAGTGCCTGAAATCATAGGGGTTGTCGGGGTCAGGATCACCTCCCTCGTCGTCTGCAGCCGCCTCGCCAAACAAGTCGTCGTCCTGGTCTTTGTCTTGCGCATCATCCTTGAGTTTCTTGGGATATATTTTGGCGTGCTGTGACGATATGTCTTTGCCGTTCCTTGTGGCAAGATTGAAGGTGTAGCTACTCGAGAGCGGCTCTAGGGTTGCTTGCTGGCTGGCGGGATCCAAGATGAGGACGTATGACTTCTTTGGCTGTGACTTTTGCCCCGTGAAGGTGAAGACATCCTGGTCGCCAGATTCGCTCGTGTCATCGATGCGCAGGCTACAGGTGTTTGTCGATGAAGGGGCCGAGAGTGTCGTAGAACGATTGTCGGATGTCTGTGAAGGCTTGTGATTGTCTGCGTAGGGCGTAAGTCAGCAAGCGCCATGACACGCGTGTGCATTTCAGGTGGAGGGCTAACATTTTACACTGCTGTACTCGACCGCATCATCGTTGTTCCGTATGCGGTCGCTGAGATGGAGGGTGAAGTGCGCCTTCTTGTGAGGCTCGATGCGGCTCTCTACCACGGGAGACGCCATTCCCGCGGCCGTCGTTGTCGGGTGACAAGTCTGCTGGTTGCAACGACGAAAAAGCAAGACAGAGTATGTGTGTACACACACCAGAGAAGTCACACTCTCCAGACGCGTAGGGTCATGAAAGAAGCATCGTTTGCTGGGTAGTATGGATGGCGCGCCGTGTTGCACATGGCCAGTCCGGCCGGGCTGGATTGGATTGGAGGCTCCGCCTGCCGGCCTCCCGCCGCTAGTCAGGCACCCAACTCCACACGACTAGCAGTTCCAGCCCGCAACCGTCTCCGCTTTGCCATGTCCCTCTTCCATGGCGGTATTTGTAAGGCCTCCAGTCGATTCGAATCTCTTGATATGTGCATCTATTATACATGCACGGTCCAAACCACCCGGTGCGTGTAGTCGTGTGTCCCCGCTCTATAGCGCCGTCGTGACGGCTGGTTGCGTGCTGCCAATATACACGCCTTGCTCAAACATATTGGCCCAGCCACCGTAATCCTACTCGCTGCTCACCAGGCAATTTGCAAAACCATTGAAAATGTCCAAAGACAGTTCACCGCCATGACACGCACTTGTTCCAATCTGCAAAGTAACATTGGTGTTGCAGTTGATTCTTGAAGCGAGCATTATCATCCGCGTGATATGGTATTGGTAACAGCATTTTTCCAGTAAGATTCGATTTCATGACCAAATCGCTTGAAAAGACCTTACGCCTACACAATGGCATCAAGATTTGTGGCAGGGCGGTACCGCTGTCGGTTTGATGTATAAGATGACCACAAGGAGACATAAACCCAACCAGTCTGTGACTGTCGACTCTACCAAGGCAAATCCATTGTGTTCCGTCTTCAATAGTATTGCTTGTGGAGCCATTCACATTCAACTGCGCTTGCCTCGCACATCTTCTCTAAGATGCGTTTTATCATCCCCACGCTTCTTGCACTGGCAAGCTCAGCCACTGCTGCTGGTATCGCAGTTGTTCTCAACAATTCTCGGAAGCCAGTACACGTCTGGTCGGTTGGCAGTTCGGTCGGCACTCGTCATGATATCAAAGCTGGTCAGTGATTGCCTGGTCAGTGTCAATATTTCTCTCTTGGCTAACAGCCACAGGGGGCATCTATTGGGAGGAAATGCGCCGCGACGAGAAAACAGGAGGGATTGCCATCAAAGTCACAGAAAGTGCAGACGGCCTCTATTCTGGCGCTCCCCAGCAAGTCTTTGCATACAACGTGGACAATGACACAGTCTGGTACGATTTGAGTACAGTGTTTGGTGATCCGTTTGCCGGCTACCGACTGCAGGTTACAGGTGACAATGGAGGATCCATTCTGTGGCCAAAGGGAACTCATCCAGGAGGGAGCCAGCTCAAATCAGCCCCGAGTGAAGGGAACATCTTCTTCTCCATTGATCCAGCTGTTTAAGGCAGTGAAAGCCACTGGGTGGCTCAAGCGTTGCATCTCTACGCGCCGTGACCGGCGCCTCACAATTCAAAAAGTTACTTCTAATTTTCCGTGATCTTCTTGCATGATGCTGTTTCAAGCCATGTCATCTCCCTAGAGGGAACCGACTGTGTTGTGCCATAGCAGTCAGACCGCCAACCGCCGACAGGGCGGCAGATCACTGCTTATAAGGGCATAATAACCGGAGAGACACGTGGAATTCGGTGCTTTTCGCCTGAATCAGTATCCACCTGGAAGACCCAACATAGCGGTAAGAGACGTGTGGACGAACGATGGGTGTGGGAAAACATGGGGTAGGCCCTGCTTTCGTCAAATTGGCCTTCTGGATTTCCTGAGCCGGCCTGTGCGCTGCCATCTCACGTCAGTTGATTTATTCGCTTTTTGACACACAATTCTGACCAATTATCCGAACATTCGGGATGCATTTTTCCCCTTGCCACATGCAAAACATTCATGTGCATGGGCACAGCACCACGAGCACCTCGTCTGTTGCGCCACCTCGGCCCTGTCTTCGCTGCTGCTCCAAGTTACGTAGGCCACGCCCACGCCTCGATACCGTATTGCTCTTGTATCGCCGACCAGTCATCCATTCATCCAACCATCCATCCGTCCATGGCGCAATCTCTCTTCATCTAACAAGGACTCCGCTCTCCCGCGAGTCAAGTTGGTGTCTCGTGTTGCCTCGGATTGTGGATACCGAGTGAACGGCCACATCCTATCTCTAGCCCGCCTTTTCTGGCTCGTCCCCGCCGCCCATCACGCTGCATGCTGCTACTGCGTGATTGCAAATGCGGGCGATATCGCGCCATGAGCATTGGCTGGCACCGCGTGGAGCCCGTACCCAGGTGGTAGTGGTGGTAGTGGAGCCTTCTCTGTGCACGACCTCAGCCCGGGACTTGTCCCACAGCAGAGTGCAATGGAGCACCGCATGCGGCGCGGCGTCGTGATTGTTAGGTGTGCAGTGCTACCATTTCAAGTCCTTTAGCCGGCATCCGACGGCGTTGGCCTACACCAGACAGCCCAAGACCAGACTCTGCTCCCTGTCGGATGCTAGGCCCCACCCGCTTCCCGGCCTCTCCGCAATCATCATTGGCGTGCCAATCCGAGCACCTGTTTCTCTGCATCTTCTATTCGCTAGCTAGCTTCCCACTTGGCCTTATCGACCGACCGCCTGGAACACCCTGGTCGCGAAATTCACACAGCGGCCGTCTTCGGGGGCCGATACAACTTTTGAGGCAAAAGGCCCTTTCTCGCCCTCTCCCGCGCCTCCTGGACCCTGCACCGTCATCGGCAGTGCTCATGCTGATTCGCTTTTAGGCGGGCGACCCAATGCTGTATGTATTCGTTGCCATGCCGCTTGCCACGACAAGATGCCCTCCGAGAGCCTGATCAGCTCTTGTACCACACTCGAGAGCCGTTGGCCGTAACCCCCCGCTGATGCCTAATTGCAATACTTTCCCACTTGCTCAGACCGGCCGACTATTCTTCTATTGTTGTTGAAACCAACGCCATCCGACTTTTGATTCGCTGGAAATGATATACAGCCCACTACGGATCCGGCTGGACACGCGACCAAGAGCCCGGACAGACACCATCGACACCACCATCTCAAGAACTAGATTCCAGGCCTCTTGCCTCCCGCAATGAGCTCCAGGACACTGACTAATGTTGTCAACGACCAAACGGTTGCTCTCAATGCCCTCATCTATGGATACGCCGGCCACAGCTTGGTCACCCCTCAGCACGCCCTCCAACAAATATGGTGGACCGAGGAGAGGATCAACGAGCGAGTCACCAATGACTTTGTCACTTCTCGGCTACAGCCTCAAGAGAGGGAACGTCTCACCCAACCTGTAGGCTTTGGCGATCTGAGCGACGATACCTATATCGAATGGATCATGGAGAAGGCACGGCGGCTATTTCTGACACTTGTCGAGATCGGCGAGGCGGACCGCATATTTGCCGTTGTCGACAAATCTTGGGACGATGATGACCTCCCTCTTGGGATGGAAGACATTGAGCAGCTATCGCTATCGAATCGACGCGACAACCACGCCAATGCTCGCTTTTACCATACCCAATTTACTTTCCTGCTACGAGAGTTACGACAAGGCGTACACATCGACTATGCCGAAAACGAAGAGGTACCGATCGAGAGTGTCATGACCTTGCCAGTCGCGGTCAGTCTGCAAGCCTGGTCTCGAATACACTTACCAAAGAAGCCGAAGGAAATCTACATGCGACGGAAATTCCCACTTGGAAATGCAGATGATCCAGAGGCTTTTCATCAAGATTTTATCCTAGACGTGGAGAGTGCAAGAATGGTTGAACACGAGCATCTCGCTCCTGTCTGGGCGTCGTACACGGCAAAGGGCTCTGGCTACATTGTCAGTAACTTTGTCGGCCACCACACCTTGCGCACCTTCATCGACCATCGCAATCCTGCGCAATACCAGAAACTGCCAAAGCCCGAGAGACGGTGGCTGGTGCTTAACTGGCTACACTGTTTGGCCGATACCATCACAACACTGCATCAAAATGGGTTTTGCCATTCCGCGATCCGACCGTCCAGGATACTCGTCGACGAGCAGAATGCGATTGCATTCAGTGACATTGGCAGCTTGGAAACGTTTCAGAAAGACAAGAAGCCTGATGCTATGGATGCCTACATATACGATGCCCCAGAAGCACATGCAAGTTCAGAACCATTGGACTTGCCTCCCTCCGTCGCATCACCCACCCTATCCAAAGACCGACACGTGTCTATCGCAAGTAAAAGCTCATCGAGATCCTCGAATAGCAGCAATTCGTATCGTCAGAAGCTAACAAAATCCCCAACAACAGACTTTTCAGGGTTCAACTTTGGCTTCAAGAAATCAGAGCCTAAACCTCAGCACCAATCACAAGGACAAGAAACTGAGAAAGCAGATGTCTTCTCTTTGGGTTGCGTCTTCTTGGAAATTTTGACTTTCTTGCTCAAGAAGAAATCCCATGATTTCATCAAACACCGTACATCGAAACAAAAAATCAACACGGGCGGCAAGAACTCGCGTACCGATTCGTCGTACCATAACAATCTTGACAAGGTCGAAACCTGGATGGCCGTACTGGAGAAAGCATCTGGGGAAAGCGATGACGAGGCATTTGGCATAGTCCCTGACATCTTGGCGCTTATCCGAACCATGCTCAGCAAAAACCCCATGCATCGTCCAACGGCTCGCGACGTGCGCGATGAATTGTTTGACATTTTCAGCTGTACCTCAATGCCCAACATGCACTGTGGCGCACATAGACATGATGTTGGTGTCGCATCATCTTCGCGTTCAGATCGTGACAGATCGTCCAGTATAGCGTCACTTCGAACGATGTCGACGATAAGTTCAACGAGCTCGGATGTAGACACAATACACTCTGGTACAACGCAAGTGAATTCGATCTTGAAGTACTACTCAGACCGAGGCACACTATCTGGAATCAAAGAGGACGACAGCGCTTCCCTGGAGACGATAGATGCACCGGCAATATCGCTGAACAACGATAGCTTCCATGCACTATCTGGACCAGGGCCCATTGTAACAAAGTCTATTAAAATACCCGAACCACTGCAGTCTCCTGGTTATGCCACTTCGCCCGCATCGCCTACCTTGCCTCTTTCGCCTCTTTTGCCTGTTTCGCCTACCTCGCCCACTGGTCCTTCTTCGCTCCTGTCTGCGCGTTCCCCTAGTCCATCGAAGCAGAATACCACGACCGTCAAGATCAAGCCATGGAACAAACCATTTCTTTTGCTTCCATGAGCATTGTGAGCGTAGCCTAGGGCTTGAAACTTGAACTAGACGGCTTGCATTGCTGGGGGTTGGACGATAAGAGCCAAAGACAGGCTATACAGAGCCAGGATGTTGCGGGGTCCCCGAAGGTGTGCGTCTGGAGGTACTAAGGGCCATGGCATGAATGCTACATTAGACGAAGAATAGGAAGGTACCTTTGAAGCCAGGGACATATGGCTGTCCACTTGACTCGGATTGGTCATGTGCAGCATGGTTGATCAGATAGTCACAAGGTGGGCCCAATCAACTAGGGGTAGAAGTAAAGCGGAGTAATTCCATGCTGGCAGAAATTCATTTACCTATTAGTGCGGTATAGGCAGCTCGGAGGGGCACAATGCGAGGGTTACCTAGTTGGCGCAGCACGACATCGGAGATGCCCGGGAAGATAAAGAAGATAAAGAAGAAGAAGAAGTTGTGAATGAATAATTTCCATTACAGGTTGTCCTGTACAGACTACCAACGTGCAGCCTTGTTTATGTCTGCTGTCCACTTGATCTAATCTCAAAATGCGGGGTTTTGGTGCCATGCTAGTCTCCCAACCTTCCCTCACGCCCGAAGCTCCACCATCTACGACGCCGAACGCACGCCACATTGCTTAGCCTCCAGGTTTTTGTACCGGTTTGCGTTCTCCATATGTACCTCCACCTCTGGAAAATTGACGTCACTCATGTGGGTTACACTCGAGCCGACAGTAGCCCTGGCACGACCTTTTCGCCATGCATCAATCACGTGCTACCGCGTCACCGGAGAAAGAACTGCGTCCGAATATGCGCGGTACTGCAGCAAGGTACTGCCGTGTCCGAACACAGGAACATCGCAGCGACGGCGCGGAATGACTGTTGTTCACTTGCTTGATGCGAACTGGGCGGACCGGCCATGTTTAGACCGAGTGGTGCGGGGACTGGGGATTCAACAAAGTGCCAGCCAAGGCGATCATCACAGCTGATCAGGGCATGCACTGCTGCATCTGACACCGTGCATCTAGCATCAGGATCCATCCACAGCGAAGCCGTACCATCAAGCTACCCTCCTCTATCCTTGGACCAGCCTCTCCAGGCTCTCGTGCCCCTGCACCAGCAACCTTTGTCAGCCTTGAACAGCCCGCCAAGGACATTCTCACTAGCATAACAATGGTCAGCCGGTGCTGCCATATGACAACCGCAGTCTTTGTACACTTACGCCCAGCGGACGCGGTTCTGCTATGGCTGATCGAGGCGCCCAGCCACCAGGATCATCCCGCCGCTAGTATCCCCAGAGCCAAGGCCTTTAGCATGCAGCTGCACGGCCATTACACCAGGTACAGTGGAGCTATGCTGTCATGAGTCTGTAGACCGCTTAAATACCACCTCCATCTCCCTTCGTTTGACTCTTCTCATGCTTTCTTGGATACGTGCATAGGCGCTGTGTCATAGCGTCTCTTCCCACCAAGATGCGGCTCTCCATCGGAATCATAGCGAGCTTGCTGACGTGGACGACCATTGCTTCTAGCAATAACAAGGTCGTTCCGCGCCAAAACAACAACACAGACTACCAAATTGGATTTACCCCACTCAAAACTGAATGGACTGATACCGTGGGAACCAACCCCTGGCCTGAGTACCCACGCCCACGCCTTCAACGACCAGACTGGAAGAACCTCAATGGCGTCTGGCGATACCAAAACACTCAAAACGGCTCTGATGCCTCACCACCATTCGGGCAGCGACTTGAAAAGGCCGTCTTGGTCCCGTTCTGCTTGGAGAGTGCTTTGTCAGGTGAGTAGCGCCAAAGCATGCACGAGACAAGTTGCTGAGACCGACATAGGTGTGACTGAAAAGAACCGTATCTGGAGCTGGTATCAGACATCGTTTGAAGTACCATCAAATTGGCCAAGCGGAAACAGTGTCGTTTTGAACTTCGGCGCTGTTGATTACGAGGCCACCATCTTCGTCAACGGCCAAAAGGCAGGATTCCACAGAGGTGGTTATTTTGAGTTCAGTGTTGATGTCACTTCGTATCTGAATGCCAATGGAACAAATGAGCTGTAAGTGCATGAGAAGCGAGAAAACATGAGAAGAAAATTAATCATTTCTGCAGTTTGGTATACGTCTATGACCCAACTGACATAGACCGCGTTCAAATCCCGATTGGAAAGCAGACTCTGAACCGTGGTGGAATGATCTGGTATACGCCCTGCAGTGGCATATGGCAGACAGTGTGGCTCGAGTCCGCACCCAAGGAGCACATTTCGAAACTCGATCTCACTGCGGATATGGATGGAAAGGGTCAGTCATCTATTCATGGTGCTACTGTCTTATTACTTACATTTATTAGTCGTCGTCACTGTGCACACTAGCACTAATTCGACCACTACCTACAGTATCGTTGTCCATGAAGTCGATTCGGATGACGTCAAGGCAGAGGCTACGGGTACTAGTGGAAGCCCATTCACCTTTGTCGTTGATTCACCTAAGCTGTGGACGCCGGATAGTCCGACCCTGTACAACATCACCATAAAAATGGGTAGTGATACAGTACAAAGCTACACTGGATTCAGAACCATCTCCAGAGGCGTAATCGGCGGTGTGCAGCGTCCACTTCTTAACGGAAAGTTTGTCTTTCCATTTGGCACCTTGGACCAAGGCTATTGGCCAGATGGCATATACACACCTCCAAGCGTAGAAGCCATGGTGTACGACCTCAAGGTACTAAAGAATGTCGGCTACAACATGGTCAGAAAGCACATCAAAGTCGAGCCGGCTTTGTTCTACAGGGCCTGTGACGAGATGGGCATGTTGGTCATTCAAGACATGCCTTCTTTGCGCCCCGATCTACCTGCTCGCGAAGGCTGTGGAGGCATACGGTTGGAGCCAGGTGCTCAGGCCGAATTCGATCGCCAACTTGAGGTCATGGTTGAGCAGTTGAAGTCGTACCCTAGCATCATCGCCTGGACCATCTACAATGAGGAATGGGGTCAGGCCACCTCACCACCATGGCCAGAGTTTGGATTGACAGACATGGTGCGTCGGGTTGACCCTACTCGCCTTGTCAACTCTGTAAGCGGTTGGACGGACCACATGGCTGGTGACTTTGACGACAACCATCATTACTCGACACCCCAATGCGGAACACCGTTCTGGTCTTATCAAGGCAGTGGCTACGACTCAGCTTACGATCCCGCCCGCATCGGTCTGCAAGGCGAATTTGGTGGTATCGGCACCCAGCTCACCGAGAATAACTTTGAACACGCATGGTACAAGGATCTTGGTCGACAAACAGCATATGAACTCACCAACGGTACCTTTTATTGGAACTATCGTTGCCACGACCTGCTTGTGCAACTGCGTGAGCAAATCGACTTGTTTGCTTGCTCGGGTGGTGTTTGGACGCAAACGACAGATGTCGAGGGTGAAGTCAATGGCATGATGACGTATGACCGAAAGGTAATTAGAATGAACGAGACAATGTGGAGACAAGATATTCAGGCCCTATACGACGCGGCCGCGAAGCGAGGCAACGACTCTTCAATGGTGATTCGGGATACAGGAGTTGCTGGTATGCAACACGGTATATTCTAATGTCTATGGCCAAGTAGGTAGATATACATACATACATGATTACCCTTCCTTATTCCACATGCCTAAACTGTGCTTCTTCTTCTTCTTCTTCTTCTTCTTCTTCTTCTTCTTTCCCCGCCTCTCTCGCCCTCCATTCCCTATCCAGCATCCCCAACGTAAACGAATCCCACCACGCCCCCTCAAACCACACCGCCTCCCTCTCTCTCCCCTCCACCACAAACCCCAGTCGCTCATACAACCGTATCGCCCCCTTATTCCACCCAAACGCCCTCAACCGCACACTATGCAGCCCCGCACGCCGAAACCCAAAGTCCAACGCCCAATTAATCGCCTCACTCCCATACCCCTTCCCTTGGTACGCTGGCAAAATATCCAGCGCAATCTCCATGGTCCGATGATGCGCCTCATGCAGCGACGACGGCGCCGAGTGAATATGCCCAACCGCAACACCATACTCTGCATCTAGAATCTCGGCTGGATTCTGCCGCTTCATCTCCTCCAGCACCGCTTCTTTCTGCTCCAAAGGCAACGATGCAGTCGGCGTGTCGTGCGGACGCCAGATTATTGCTTGCAAGAGACTTTCTTCGCGGGGCTCGCCGCTGCCAGGGGGGCCCTGGTGCATGTTTTCCTCTGCGTCTTGCTCCGTGGGGAGCTTGGTCGTGGCGTGTGTACTTGCCATGTACATGGCTGGGTCTGCGGCGAGCGCCAGGAAGACGGATTTGTCGCATGGGCGGATGGCGCGGTAGTGGAGGCGGGGGCTGCGCCAGGGATTGGGATATTTGAAGGGCATTATACAAGATGGCAGGGTGGGTTGTGTTGGGTGTGGACTAGGAATGTGGAAGATTGGGGGGTTTGTTAGGATGTTGGTATCTTTTTTTTTACTTATATATTGTTCTTTTGGTATCTGAGTTTGTAACTTTGGTATGCAGATGTTACGTATGGGTACCGATCTGGCCGTGGTAGTGCCAGCGTTGGGCTTGCGTTGCGTTGCGTTGCGCCCTTTTTGGTACCGCCCTTTTCTCGATGTTCGGAACGCGATGTTCAGGACGCGGTGTGAGGATAGGGAGAAGCAGAGACGACACGCCGGGAGTGGACTGCAGCGTATAGCAGAAGCGCGCTAAGAGATTAGATGCATGCCGTAGATGGGGCCTGTCACATTTATGTTTCACAATAGCCAATGCCTGGAATCGTAGTATACAGGGGCTTTAGTAGCCCTTACAGCCCGTGAAGCCGTAGACTAGTTCAACATTCGTCACGGACGCGATAGTGCTAGTGCCATCATCCGGGCTTTGCTTCATACTCTTACAACGAAATCTCACCCCTCCATGTGCCTTCGGTCAGACCCAGAGTCTCAATGCAATGTTGCCATCTTGGACCACCTCGCTCCTTCCTCCTCAAATACTGCAGAAGCTTCTGTCTCCTGTGCACCAGCAACCGCAGATTCCGCTTATTGTGCTTGTCGCCCTTTCCTCGTGTCTGTAAAAAGTCCGCTAGTGTCTTGATCTTGGCTGTCAGGATAGCAATCTGGACTTCAGAAGATCCCGTGTCTGGTCCTACTCGCTTGGCTGTTGCAGCAACGTTTGTCTCTGGGCGGATGGCATGAGTCTCGTCTACACCGGAGCGGCTCAGCGATGGCGCTTTTGGTGGGAATATCCTGTCAGTGTTGTGGCGTCCAAAAGTCTCGACACATCGCGCAATGTTGACACGCATGCGGTCTTTGCTGGAGCCATTCTCGAGCGCCGTGATTCGCCTAATCGCCTCGACTGCACGTGCATGGTCCTTTTTGTTTTGCTCTTCAATTTCCTCCGCCGACTTCTCAATTGCCCTTGCCTGAGCATACCGCGTGGCGTCGTTCCATGGGTACGCAGCGGGCGCAGCTTGCTTTGCAATTTCACTCAGTGGTACCGCTAGCTTCTCGCTCTTCTTTAATTGCTTCTCCACAGTCGTCGGGTCGAATGCATAATTGAGATGCGTCCGGTCCTGGGGAATTTTCTTGCCTTCGTCGTAGGTTATAGGCTTGCCAGTATCAAAAGACTCTACAAACGGTGTTGGTATACCGCGAACAGGGTTTCCAAGACTGGCCACACGGGCTTGTTCGAGTTCGGCACGTCGAGACAGGTTGGCTGCCTTTTTGCGGTTGCGCTGCGCAACTATGTAGGGATCGCTAGCAAGGCGCTTCTTTTGTCGCTCAATTGATTCGGCATTGGCCCGCGCTGTCGAAACAAAAGTTCGGATGGGGAGTGTGAATTGCGCAGAAATGGAGGGTGCTGTGGCATTGTCAACACTGGATATTGTACATGAAATCTAAGAACTCACAAGCCGATGCCCGTAGGCACGACAATCCTGGTATTCGTGGCGGCATCGTTGGCTTGGACGCACACTCACTGCTTCCACCCGCCGTGAATCTTTTGCGGATCAGGTCGTCGGCGCAAGGGTTTCGCCGGCGCCGCGTCCCGTTCGGCACTATGCTGCTTCGGGCTTTAGCTCGCCCACTGCCAGGGCTCGAATATCGCCAAAGTTCGTGTGCCAAAACTTCGCCCGCACGCATCACGACAACTTCTCTATACCCACCAGCTTGTACAGCGCCAAACCGTCAAAATGGCCCCTTCCAACCTCCCCGCCATCTTCAACCCCACCCAGCAGGACATTGAGATGCTCCTCGCTGCCCAATGCCACCTCGGTAGCAAGAACCTCCAGGTGCACATGGAGCCTTACCTGTGGAAGACCAGGCCCGACGGTGTCAACGTCTTGAACATTGGCAAGACCTGGGAGAAGATTGTTCTGGCCGCCCGCATCATTGTCGCCATCGACAACCCGGCTGATGGTACGTTTGGGCGCCCAAGTCGAGACATCTGGACTTGAACAATGCGCAAATATGCCCAAGTTCTTTTTTAGCTGACACTGCGCAGTCTGTGTCATCTCCGCCCGTCCCTACGGACAGCGTGCCGTCCTCAAGTTCGCCTCGCACACCGGCGCCACCGCCATCGCTGGTCGTTTCACTCCTGGTAACTTCACCAACTACATCACCCGTTCTTTCAGGGAGCCCCGCTTGATCGTCGTCACCGACCCCCGCACCGACGCCCAGGCTATCAAGGAGGCCTCCTACGTCAACATCCCCGTCATTGTAAGGAGAATGCGCATGAAGAAGAGTATAGGAATCTGGAACTAACCCCGAATAGGCCCTTTGCGACGGTGACTCTCCCACCGAGTACGTTGATGTTGCCATCCCCACCAACAACAAGGGTCGCCACGCCATTGGTCTCATCTGGTGGATGCTCGCCCGTGAGGTCCTCCGCCTCCGCGGTACCCTCGCTAACCGCGAGACTGAGTGGGATGTCATGACTGACTTGTACTTCTACCGCGACCCTGAGGCCGAGGAGAACAAGGACAGCGCTGGTGTTGAGGAGGCCAAGGTCCCTGGTGCCGACGAGGTTGGCCCCGCTGCCGTCGCTGACGGCTTCACCAGCGAGTGGGAGGTCTCTGGCGCATCTGCCGGTGCTTTCACTGCTCAGGCTGCTGCCCCTGGCACCAGCTGGGACGCTGACGCTGCCGACTGGGCCGCCTCTGGCGATGCCCAGGCTGGCGGTGAGGGCTGGGGTGCCGAGACTGCTGCCCCCACTACCACTACTCAGTGGTAAATGCCATGTTGAGCATCTTCGTCACTTCTTCTCTTACATACCCTGTCTTTGAACAAACAATGGCACGTCGGCGTAGGAGTAGGCAATGGGAAAAAGGAAAATATGAGACCATTTGACAACGATCAACAAGAAATGCATGTTTGATGGGACAGGGGTGTGTTGAAGGATATGATCAATGCTGTGCGCTTATGAGGGAAAGATATCCATACTTGTCTTCGGGTATGGGGGAAAGCCCTGTGCTGGCGATCGGGTCGTACTTAGTTGGCGCCCAATCCTTCAATACATACCTTGTTCCCACATTGTTTGACTGCTTTTCTGGCCTGAGTGTTTGTGAACTATAATCTGCTATTAGTGACATGAGTGGTGACTGAGTTGTGTGACATGATACATGTTGCTGAGCAAAATCAGGACAAGGTGGAGTGAGTTTTTTTGTATTTTCAGCCCGATCCATAGCGGGGTATTCATATACATTAAAATCCTTCATGTTCTCGTTAAATTCTGCCCCATGTGCCATGTACCATACCTAATCAAGTAAGTAGACTCGAAACTATGTACTACACGCAGAACGTGTGGGTGATGATACTCAAAACACAATTGCTTTCCAGGAGAGAGAGAAAAAAGAGGGGAATGGCTTTTGTTTTACAACCAAGCAAACACGATCAACACACCAAGCAGCATAGCACCCGTGCTCCTGAGCCCCTTGCTCAAACCATCTGCCGCTGCCGCAGTGGGCTGTGGTGCAGACGTATCCGCAGTACCGGATCCAGAACCCGATTGTCTTGCTCCAGAACCAGAAGTCTGTGTGGCACTGGAACCACCAGATGTAGGGGAATTGTCATAGTTGTGTTTCTGGCCCAGGGTAGGAAGAGCGGATGTGGGGACGACTTCCCATGCTCCTTTAGTGAAGGCTGGGCAGGCAATAGATGTGAGAGTGGGCTTGTAGTCCGAAGCCTTGATTCCGGTAGGATTTAGAGTTTTCCAGACGGCTGAGAGGTTGGGGAAGTCTGGTTCGACGGGTGTGGGTTTGCCTAGTTGAAATGGTTAGTTTGGTGTCTTGCCGAAAAAAAAAATCATATTCCTCAAACATACCGGAGCGAGGAAATCCATCCGGCGGCGCATTGGGACTCGCAGGATCAACCTTGGGCCCGTAACTAATCAGGCCGTAGTTGTTCTGCTCCTCGATCCATTCGTATATGATACTGCCGGACCATACATCCGCCATTTCGCCAAACAGTGCCTCCTGGTCTTTAAAGTCGCGCGGGCGCACAGTGTTGCAGCCTGTTTCGGACATGAAGATGGGAACGGGGAGATCCTTTGCGTTCTTTTCGAGGTTGTCATAGCCTGATTGCTGGTAGGAGCTGTCGCCGCACCACGAGTATGCGTTGAGGGCGAAGAAATCGACGCGCTCCGAGGCGTTGTTGCCACATGAGAGGTAGTCTTGCAACATGGGCCGCAGCGAGGCGATGTCGGCGGCGGAGTAGCCGATGGGGATGTTGCGGTATCCCTTCTTGTCGCGGTAAGCTTTCATATCACGTGCGGCGGCTTTGATGTAGGGCGATGTGACGGAGCCGTTTGAGGTGGTGATGGCCTCGTTGCCGACGAAGAAGCCTGCGACGTTGTCATATTGGTGGAATTCATCCATTACTTTGGCGTAAGCATCGCGTTGGTCAGACTCCCATCGAGGTGTGTTTTGCTCGACATATGTGTCGAAGGTGTCGAGATCGACCCAGATGTAGACTATGTGACGGGTTAGTATTCATTATCAAGTGACTTGAAAACATTAATTTCTAACTATACGACATTTGCGCTTTTGAAGAACGGAAATTGCCGTGTAATCATCAAAGTAATCTGAGTTCAGACGTATCTTGGGCATACGTACTTCCAGCATCCGCAAAGGCCTTCATGCAATCGGTATGATCAGCATCAGGGTCAACGTGGTAAACACGGATTGAGTTGGCGCCAATGGTTTTCATGAGGGCAGAGTCGAGGCCACATTGCGTCGCGTCGACGAGCGGATCGTCTGGGACAAGCTGGTACGCGATACCTATACTGAGTCGTTAGAAATCAATGCTTCTTTAACTTCGTTTTGTTGCAGAATCGCATATGTACCCTTGACGTAGAATTGGTTGCCTTCGCTAGTGAAGAGCTTGGAGCCCTTTACTTCGATTGTCGGGATAGCTGAAGCGACAGTGCTCAAGCTGGCCAACAGCGCCAGCGATAGAGATTGAACCATTATTGCAGTCGAGCAACCCAAACGTTTTCCAGTGTTTCCCTGGTAAATATTGAAGATCAAGCAACAAAAACAGCTCAAGTCCCCGCTTAAAAAGAAATTATCCAGCAGCAAACGCACTGGGCCTACGAACCACCGTTACGTTACGTATGAGACACAAGATTGCACATGAGCTCCGTAAAAGTATAAGCGAAAGTAGTAGTAGTCAACAAAAAAGCAAACGACTGTAGTATATGAACGAACGAAGGGTGCGTGAACAAGAGCGAAGTAAGAGAACAGATTAGGCCGGCCAACTCATGTTTATGAATGCGGCTGTTTGGAAACAAGGCAAAGGGCGCCCTAGTAAGTAACACGCCTACCCCCCAACTCCACGCCGTCGATCCTTCCAATCTCCATGACGCTTCTCGGCAAAAGGCGCCCATAAGCCCTCAACCATGCAATCCCACTTTCAAGTCGAGGGCTAAAGCGTTGGCTCCCACCAATTGCATTGCCGCGAACGGGGCGAACAAGGCGTATCATGGAAGTTGGGGAAAGAGGACAAGCGTAGTGGAGACGTGCGTGGGCGATGCGACAAGGACTTGCGTGGGCGATTGGCTGGGCTGCAGTTTTAAGCCTATGCGACCCGCATGCTTGATGCACCTAAGCGGCACACGGCTGGCTTGGTCGAAACAACATATCGTGTCTATCTGGTCGACGCGTTCACAAATACAAGTTTATGTCGAGCTAAGGATATGCATTAAAAAACATCGACTACCCACAGGTCAAGCCTGCATTGCTTTGATCGCGTTGCCCTCTCGGCTGACTTGGAGCTTTCGTTGTGTACAGTAAGCACCCATGGATGGGGATGAGCTCATTTTGCACCCCGTGCAATCTTAATCCGTAATCTCCGCTAACCACCTGTCACAACGACGTGAAAACCGTAGCGGTCGGTCACTTGGAAAAGCGCGCCAGACGTCCGATTGCACTAAAAACGAAGAGGCTCCGTGCCAAAACGCTAGTTGCTGGCTAGCTGTTAGCCGCTCCCCAACGTCTGTCATTGACAAAGTCCGCCCGCTTTGCTTGCTTCTTTTCTGACCACGAGGACATGTGGTTTGATTGGTTGGCTAAGTTTCCCATAGTTGAATTTTGCGTAGCAATTACATACCTATGACTTTTTTCTACTCTTCTTCCTTTCTATACGTTCCCCCCCAGACAAGACTAAGTTGCCCGAGTCCCCACACCAGGGGTTATAAGAGCCGTAGGATCCCCGCGGAGTCAAGCCTTCCACCGCAGGTGGCTTCTCATATCTGCTACACACATGATTTCCAAACTGTTCTGGCGCAGCAATCGTGCGAGGGTTGGTATTTGGGTCACGTTGAGCAGCAACCGTCGAGGATAGGATTACGGAGTCAATGTATGCGATGCAATTTATCTCGAGGTTGTGGTGGCTCTCGATCTTCACACCGTCTAGCTTCTCGTTTGCGGCCCGATCCTTTTTTCTTATTAGATATAAGGTGCTTGCCCGCCTCGTTATTCAGGTTTCCTCGGCCATTGTTGTATATGACCTGTCAAATGTCTGCTTAAGTAAGCGATTCTTCACCAAAGCTTCCCTTCCGCACCGCCCATTTTCTCAGAACTCATCTATCGAAATATTTTTAAAAATAGCAAAATCTATAGATCCCAATAAACTATATAGTGCAGTCTGGATATGGGAGCATCAAGAGCTTTAGTCATGGACTTAATGTCATTCAGTTAAGGGAAATTTTCTTTTGTTCTAATTTATTTTTTAAGAATTAAATTTTTACTGCTCGATTCACTTCTTTTACCTGAAGCTCATACGGTTTTAGTTCCGAAGACATGCTAGCAGTTGAGTTGGATGACGATGCTTTGTTGTATCCAAGTCTCCTCGTGAACATTGAGGCTGTTGAACAATAAGCTTCTGGGCTTGAGTGGATCATCGCTCATTTTTCCCGATAGTTGGAAGTACTTGAGCGAGAAGCATGTCTGGCTCTGTTGGTCTTCAGCTCATTGAGTATTTTGTCAGTTTTCCCCTCGGGATAAACGTATGGCGGCTACTGAGTAGGTGGGTCTGGAGTTGGGCCTGGAGTTGGATCTGGAGTTGGGCCTGGAGTTGGGCCTGGAGTTGGATCTGGAGTTGGGCCTGGAGTTGGGTCTGGATTTGGAGCTGGTCCTGGGGCTGGATTTGGCCCTGTAGTGACCTGTGTGGTGCCTTCTTTGATTGCTTCCTTTATCTAAAATTCCAGTCAGAACGTGGATAACTATATTGAGAAAATGGCTTACGGGAAGCAATTGCCTGAAGATCGAAGGGGCCAGATAAATGCCTAAGCGATCTGGCTGAAGCGCAATGCTTGGATCCGCTGTAACTGCATCAACCTATAGCACATGTTAGTAGTCTTTCCAATCATCTTGCACCATCCAAACTGACTTCATTGACAATTTTCGTCATCTCGAGACGACAGTCACGTCTAGCTTTGCTCAACCCTACAAACGAAGCATCGTAGGGTTCACAGTCCAAGATGTTCGGTTTGAAAGTGTTCTTCTTCGGTTGCAGGTCCCGCGAATCCTCAGAGCCCTCTAAATGCTTGCCACTGGTATGGCTTCGGGACTGGCCTCGACTTGCAGACTTCGGTGCGGAAGCGCCCTCTTGGGCGCACTTTTTGGCGTAGTCTAGAAGTTCCTTGGTGGGCTCAGATTTGACCAGCTTCGTGGTTCCAGATTCAAATTCCCAGTTAATGATCTGGATATGCTTCCAGATTGACTTGTAATCCATGTAAGCATCCAAAAGTGCTCCTGTATAAATACCAGCATTTTCATAGTCTAGCAAAATCAGCGGTTAGCTCATACAACTTTTGTTCAAAGCCATGGTAGATGTACATACCAAGGGGGGAGAAGAAGCCCATTGACTCGTGAAAAGTTTTCAAAGATGTGTACTTTGTTAAAATTGCATAGGTGCGTTGTGGTGTCAATGCGACAAGATCCGGAAAATTTGCTGCAGCGAGAGTAAGACTGTTGATGTCCCAAAGGACGTTTGGGTCCTTGATTTGGCCACCACCACTCCAGTTGACGTCTTTTGTTAATGTCAGAGGGTTTGATTCTGAAGCCAAAAATCAATACTTACTTATTGTGGTTTCCGTTGATGTTTCAGTGGCCTTCTTATCCAAACCGCCCTCACCTTTGATCGCACCAGATAAAGCCGGTGTTCCCAGCTCTGCTTCCAATGCACCTTTGATCGTAGTTATTTTGGACTTGTCATTTACCTTGACTGATATCAGTGCGTTGAGCTCTCCACCTTCCTCCCATCCGGATATAAATGAGTCCTAGATGTCAAGTCAGCAACGAATCCTTGATCAAGAACCTGACAGGTGTCTATCTGATGCACTTACGCCATATATCTCGGTGAATCTAGTAATAGGGAAATTCTTCAATTTTTGAAACTGTGTATAGTCACGCGCCATATGCGTTTGGTTCGTCACCTTGACTTGAATGAAGAAGTTGAGATCACTGGTCTTGAACTTATCCGAGTCAATGTAGGTTCCGCTAACGGCCCCACCAATGGTTCCTGTTTTGATGGATAAAGAAGCGGACACGTTCATCACATCGATTACATCGCTGAGCTTGTCAACGAAACGAGATGAGTATGAAACAATTTGACTGATCCCCTTAGGCTGCTGATCTTCCGAATACGGCGATGGGACATCTTCGCCTTGGGTGACTGCATCAGTCATGCATATCTGCTGTGTAAATGAGTTGAAGCCCTGTCCCAGGCGCATGGAGTTGTTGTAAGGCGCAAGAAGCATCGCCATGGTGGCTAGTGTGTAACGAGCAAGGATGAAACAACAATGATAAGCTTGGTGGCTTCTTGACGAAACAAAATGTAGTAAGAAGCACTGGCACAAATCTCAGTACTGCCATCGTGTATTTATGTGTGAGCAATCTCTTGGTCATCATGCATTTTGTTCGAACGGGGTATCCGACCGCTAGTGTAGCCGCCAGACGCCACAAAACGCCACGGCGCCGCTCGGGCTGCCTTTGCGCCAGGCAACAAATGAAAGTCACGTTCTGGAATCCATGTCAGTTGAATGAATGGATCTTCCTTTGCTGCTAGTACTACGGTCTGGACTTGATGAATGGCTTATAGCTCCAAAATTCCCTTGTCGAGACGCGATATCACCGCCTGGACAACGTCAGAATGAACAGTCTCCAAAACCTTGCATCTCAAAGACTCCCTTTATATCTTCCCTGGTCCAAGCCTAATATTGAGATTGGATCGGGCTTCAATTCAGCTGCTATTGCATCTGACAGTCTGCCCTGGGCATCGAAATGCCCATTCATAATTGATGACGCGAAATGCGTTGTAGAAATTGATGGTGGAGTTTCAAGCTACCGAGAAGGGAACAGTTCTTCGTCGGCGCAGCATTCAGAGCATCTCAGTGCTAGTCTTGGAGTGACTGTGGGTTGCAAGTTCCTCAGCGCCAGCGTCACTGGCTCGTATGATAAATCGGTATCGGACAACTTTGCTGTATTTGAACACCAGGAAGCTTACAAATGATTTGCATTAACATATGATAGGGAACACGAGTCTCCAAAAATATCAGTATTCAAGCCGGGCATGTCCGCTTCCAAGCTGATCCGGTACTGACACCTTTTGCACGAAACGTCTTGTGCAGATCGGAGAACGAATTTCGCAGCATTTTTGGGGACTATTACGTTGTTGGGTACCAGATTGGAGCTGAAGCGGGAGGCTGTGTGACTATCACTCACTCGGATCAGTCCGAAGAAAAGCGAGTGCAAGTCCAGGCCACTGCCAAGGTACTCTGGATGAAGAAGACTATCAGCACTACAACATCATCAAAAATGGTATCTTCAGACGACTCCATATCATTCAACAGCTACGATACCCTGCGGCAGCACAATGATGAGGTAAAGGAAACCCATCTACTAGAGGAGATCCATCAGAAGTCAAATGAGTGTATGGATCGAATCGACAATCTGCATGCGACAGTCGAAAAAACAATAATGGACCTGGGTTTGGGCACGAATGATGGCGCATCCGTTAAGGAGTGTGTGCGATTGTGTGATTCTGGCGTGGTTGTTCAGCTGATACTAGCTCCTTACTCTAAGCTTGCAGAATATGTAGCCCTGACTAGTAGTCGCAGCTCGGATATCTAATGAAGCCTTAGCGACTTCGGGTGTCTTGTCGATAATAGCCAAGTGTGGATAGTCAAAATAATGATTGTCCGAACGCGATGTTGGTAGATCCAAAACGAGCGTAAGCGCATCGCTTGTGGCTGTCAAAGTGGCCGCTTTAGGCCGCACCTCTCAATCTAGACCTCATGACACTAAAAAAGGAACGGTCCGTTGTCAAAACATGGACTAGTCACCATGGAGAACTATTGGCGTCAGCTGCTCATTCGCGCCGGGTGCTCTCTCAGCTCATTACAAGGGGCGGCAAAGCCGAACTGACAGGCGCACCATTTCTTTTAGCTCACCATCTAGGCAATCCGAATACCCTCGGCTCGGAGGTAGGCGAGAATTCGAGAACGCCTCTTCCAAACCGTGAGAGAGACCAACTGAACAATCAGAGCCCCTTGCGCAAGCCACAATGTCTCGTCAAGAAATACATCAATCAATCAACCGCCCAAATACTTCATCTTGTATCTTGACTTCATCTCCCGAATAACAGATATCTTTATTCACCGAAATTATTCACCTCACCAGTGCTCAGTATCATGGCTATCATACCAAACTATGGTGACTGGATAACTTTTCCTCTTGAGCAGCTCTCTCCTGTAGAGCTCGAATGGTGGAGCGACAAGACACAACAACAGGCCAGATACTATGTCGACAAGTGTTGGTTTGGTGACAGAGTGGACAACGCTGAAACTAGGGACGGTTACCGCAATGGTTTGGCACCAAAAGGTGAATAGTCGCAAAACATGTTCTTACGTTCATCAATTATTCTGACACTTTTGTGCAGGAGAAACACTTATCTTCATTGCTTCCGAATACATTGAGAGTAGGATGCAGGGGGCGCCGCATTTGAAGAACCTGCATCTTATAGACATAATGAGGGAAAAATACAATGACGATGACCCCGCAAGTATGAAGGTGACGAGTCGTAGTGATGAATCTTGCTGATCTTTGCAGAGCGCTGGGCCTTGTTGCAGCTCAATGAAAAGTTTCACTATGGGCAAAACAATAAGAAAACATTTAGATGGATCGTATACCACCCGCCTGCAATCGCTGGTCGAGAGCGAAAGATGTATCAAGTATGAGCAATCACAGTGCACTCAAAAAAACAAAAATTTTAAGCTGACCACCACTATTTTAGCATCGTTTTGTAGAAAATGTCGCTCTAAAAATTGCAGACATAGGTATCGAACTAGCCGGAGTAGCAGTCACGACCGCTGCTGGCGCTGCCACAGGAGGCGACGTTCAAGTCAAGGGAGTCGTCCCCATACTCACACGTTTCAAAAACCTCTTTGCAGCCAACCATGGCCACATGCTACACCAGTTCTCTTCTTCCGAGCAGGTCATTTCCAATCCACCCGAGCCTCAGCCCCAGGGTGAACAGGTTATCTCCACCACGCTACAAGACGGCACAGTAGCCCAAATCATCGAGCGAGCTGATAGCACTTTGCCCAATGTCTCTTTGGTTGAACCGATCAAAATCGAAATCAAAACCGTCGTAAACCCAAACCGGCGGAATTTAACTGTGTTGCGAAGAAAACCAGGAGGAGCTGCGATCCTAAAAACGCAACTCGGTGTTCGCAATCTTGAGCACGAAGAGCAGTCTGAGTCCATGGTTCCGAGAGACATTAAGCAGAGTAATCCTGGAGTTCATATCAAAAAGGATATACGGCCTAAGAAGCTATGAGTGTTATATGTACAAAGTATCGATAGTTTCATGACAATACATACGATAGAATTGTAAAAATTGTTGTTTGCACTTGGGTAGTACTTGCTTACGTTGGTAAAGGATGAGAAGTCGCTAGATACCAAATACTGGCTATACACAAAAGGCATGTAATTAATCGCCCAAAAAGACTAGATGACAACATGACCAAGGCAAAACGTGCTCTGCACTCCAAATCACCCTGCACAAACTCCTCTCACAAATTATCGCCCAGTGGAACAAAAAAGATCGAGTGGAAACACTTTTACCATCTCAACCCTCCATCACCCAAAACTCTCATTGCCCCCCTGTCTCCTCGCCCTCGCCTGCACACCTCCCCGCAACAACATCCCGCATCCGCTCCAACAACTCGGCAACACGAAACGGCTTTCCCACAACATCATCCATACCCGCATCCACCGCCGTCCTAATCTGCTGCTCCCTCACATTCGCCGTAACTCCAATAACCGGGACCCTACCCCTCAGCAATCCCTCTCGTTCCAGCCTCCGAATCTCCGCCACGGCCTTCAACCCGTTCATAACGGGCATTTCCCAATCCATGAGGATGAGGTTGAGCGGGATGGCGGGGACGTCGTCGTCGTAGCCGAGGGGCATGGGTTCGGTGGAGGGGACGTGGTATTTTTCTTTGCGGGATAAGGAGGAGGATAGGGGGTGCGTGTGGTTCCAGAGCGTGGTTTTGGGGAGGAAGTCTAGGGCTTCTTTGCCGTGGTTTGCGACGCTGATGGTGCAGTTGAGGGCGCGGAGCTGCTTGGCGAGGACGCGCTGGTTGACGAGGTTGTCTTCGACGATAAGGACGTGGAGGGGTTGCGGGATGGGTTTGGTGAGGGGCTTAGGGTCTTGTGAGTGAGATTTTTGAGAGATGGGGAGGGCTTCGGGGTCGGTGTGGGAGCGGATCGGAAGAGGTTGCTGGGAGTTTGCTGATGACCGTCGGATAGTTGGATAGGGTGGTTGTGCTATCCGTGCGTCTCCGGTGGTGAAGGAGCGCAAGGGAGCCGCGGGTCGTGTCAAGTTCACTAGAGGTCGGTGTTTTACATCTTCGCGGAATACATGTGGTAAGCTTCCGTTTCTCTTCGTACTGGGCTTCGTTCGCCTTGTTTTGATGTAGAAGGAGAAGGTACTGCCCTTGCCAGATTGACTGGAAAGACCAATAGCACCGCCCTGCAGTTCGGTCAAGCGTCGCGATATGAACAGACCCAAGCCAGAACCTCCATAGGTGATGTGAGTGCGAGGCGAAGCTTGTGAGAAGCGCGTAAACAACGTGCCCTTTTCATCCTCTGAAAGACCGCGGCCAGTATCTGTGACGGAAAATTGCAGGTACATGAGATCTTGGGCATGCTTCCAGTCATCTTCAAGGCGTTGGTCGTGGTCCACTAGTCTCTCTTCGTTGAACTGAATTCCTCCAGGAATTGACGTTGGCTCTGTTACGCTGGCAGAAAGCGTCATTTTGACTGATTTGGTCTTCTCGAGGCGCGTGAACTTGATAGCGTTAGTAAGAAGATTAATGAGAATTTGTAGCACCCTTGTTGGATCCAAGGAAGTCCAATCGATCTCCATGTCACGGTAGGACTGGTCAACTACCAACGAAATATCAATTCCTGCAGCTCTTGCTTCGGCGTCGAACATTCTGACAGCGTGTCTCGCTACATTTTCAGGCTGTACAACTACTGGCGTCATGTCTAGAAGACCTGAATCGAGCTTGGATATTGTCAAAACGTCGTCCACTATATGTCTCATGTGCTGGGTGCATTGAGCGATAGTTTGTGCAGCGTCTAATGTAGATTCCAGGAAAGCTGACCACCCATTTGTAGTCATCGCACGACATTCGTCCTGTGCATACGAAGATATAATTGAATCTGCACATTGCATAATAGCACTCAGGGGATTGCGCATCTCATGCGAAGTCGTGTCGATGAAGTGCTCGAGATGCTGTTTTCCCTGGAGCGCGCTGGCGGTACGAATCTTTTGAAGATCTTCGGCCCACTTCTGTTTGGAGATGTCAATGACGTTTCCTACTATTTCGACAAGTTCACCGCTGGATCCTATCTCAGGATAAGCCGAGCACAGAATCCACCTAAAGTGCTCAGTGTCTAAGGTTTGTGACTGGCTGAGGTCCGAGGGTGGCAACCATGGCATCCTGGTCCGCAGCTCGAAACAAACGTTTTCATTATCGACCACGAGCTTCGTAAACATTGATTTACAGTAAGCTATGTCTTCTTCGAAGGCAATAGTGTTCCATGCTTCTGTAGCATTGGTATGGAACCCGGCAATTTCAAACATATCATACCAGCGCTGGTTTCGATACGTGTAGTCCCCAACGGAATTTGTTATGAAAATGGCAACATCGGAACGCTCTGCAAAACGCTGGAATTTGCCTTCCTCTAGCTTTATCTCAGCCATCAATTGCTCTTGGATCTGTGCAGCCTGGGCAATGGCATTTTCTCGTTGCCGAACCTCTTCTTCAAAAAGGACGACTGAAGCTAGCGAAGTAGCTAGCAAACGGACCATGACTTGGAGGTATTGCTGGTAGTCTTCATCAAATGGTCTACGGGGGTTGAGGCCAATGATGAGAAAGCCTTCGACCTGGTTGCCGGTTGTCGGAATAATTGGGCACACAACAATGGTGCGACAGGGTTCTCCATAGCCTCTCCATTTGATGTCTCTCAAGGCAGTACCGGATCCAGAGAGCTGATCCAGACGCACAACAGTAGCTTTTCTGGACTGCGCAGCGCGGCGAATATGGGAATAAAGCAGGTACGAGTCTTCATTGACGTTGATAGTTGTGGGAGCGATGGGATGACCAGCCTCAACGCCAATCGTACCCTTGAGCACACACGCGTCCAATGGTGATGTGCTACCTGGCGATGACATTGATGTGATTTCCGCGCTTATATGGCGCTCAGCAGCATACAACAGAGCTAGCGGTACATCTTTATCGTTCAGACCCAGAGAGCTCAAGGTTGTGTCCCAATAGGAGGGAAAGTTCCTTGCACGTTGGCTTTGAGTGCCCATGGATACCAAACTAGAGACACGGCGTTCGAGCAGACGGTGTTCGGTCACTTCGAAAAAGGTTTGGTAGTAGGCCTTTGTGCCGCGATGGCGATCCAATATTGGTACAAACCGAAATGACCAGTGGGTCTCTTCAACACGTCCGTCTCTATCGATGAACAGCAATATGTCTGGCTCAGCCAGAGGTTCATCCGTGCCATTGGCATGGTGAACGATGGTTTGGAATGTGTTCCAATGCTCGGGTGCATGGGTGCGGACGGTCTTGCCCATGCAAGGATGGAGATTGCCTAGTAGCTGAATATATGCCTCGTTGTATAGCATTACACCATCATCACCCCAATATAAGATGGTCGGTCCACTGTTGCCAAGGACCATGTTGGCGAGGCAATGCAAGTCAGGTGACCATGACTGTACCGGTCCGAGGGATGTATTGGCCCAGTCTACACTGTGAAAGTAATCAATATGAAGTCCAGGTATTATATCCGGTGGAAATTCAGCCGAGGTGTAGTCAAAAGGCCCACGCCGAGCATCTTTTTGCGTATCAGAACAGTCTGCACCATTCTCGGGGGTCACAGGCAGCTGTACTGGTAGCGTGGGAGGCGTGGTAGGTGATGCGTCTCTGAGCTGTTTACTCTCCAGCGTCTTGCTCTCGCGACTCAGTTTTCGATGGTTTCTGGCTCCTGGCCCCGTGTTGGCCAGCATTAGTGATGTGGGCACTCCGCTGATGACTCTGTAGTGTCCAATGGCAAAGGCGTTCCATAAATGGCCCTCAAAGGTATAGACATGGCTTGGCCATTGCAGGCTACCCTCTTGTGTCCTTCCGCAGACCCAATCCCGAAAAGCAAGCTGAGATTCGGTGCTTTCATCCAATATGCTCGTCTCATTGTGTCCTGTTATTCTGGCCAGCAACCCAGCAGCCGCTGTCAGAGCTGGGTTGGAATACACCAGATCGAGCGGCTTATCGTGCGCCAAGTGAGAGGGCAATTCGAGGACGAATGAAGGGCGTTTGTCGACATCCAGCGCTTCCAGTAGTGTAATCGCAGCCGCGTTTATATGCATGGGATGCTCGGGCTGTCCTTTGGAGTCCATTGCATCTGGCGCCCTCGCTCTTTCTCTCTTCCTGAGTACAAGCCTATACCATCTCCTCATCCGCGCACTGTATCGAGGGAAGTGGGTGTATCTGCGATGCTCATCTCAAGGAGTGAACCGCGCTGAGTCGCTCGTCGCTCGTCGCTCGTGGGTCGGTGCCCAAAAGGCTACTAACGCGTCCATGGCCTGGCCAATTCGCCCATGCTACCAGTCGCGATAGCGTCTCAGCCCGCCAACTAGCCTCATCCGCTCTTCTCCGCTCCATCGTCAATCTGCCATTGTAAACATTATTGTTCATGGTCCCACAACAGTGCAACGCAACCTTTTTGCACTCCTCCAGATGACCGCCGTCATGTTGTCGTCACCTTTCTCCGCACGTCGGTGCTGACGGACCTTCCCAGCGACGGTACGGTACGGTACGGTACGTTACTTACGTTTGAGCCCCCTGCGGCGATCTGCCTCACCTTCGACCGATCTGCACCAGGATCATTAAACTCAAACGTACCACCACAAACCTTTCGGCGTAATCGAATTTGGCCGTCCCAACTACACGGCTTGTTTCTACTGTCACTGCTCTTATGTATGGGATACCTCTGCACTTCTTTAGCTGCAATCACGTTAAAATAAAGAAGCTCGAGCGACAATCCATGCGCAATCTCACTATCATTATCAATTACAAAGATTACAAGTACTACCCTCCTTCTCTAATGATTACACATGGGCTCTACGGGCGCCTTGTTGCCACCGAAATACACTTTTCCATAAACATTGTTTCCTGTCCAACGATCCGACGGAATCCTTGGCGGGTTTGTGGGGCCTCCTTCCTTCTGTGAACCCGGAAACAAAAAGTTGGGCGAGATAACGCTGTCGGGACACCCCAGCGCCGTCTTGCTAAGTAGAGGATCCAAGACTGAAAGAGCCCAAGAAACTCCTTTTGCCACGTTCTCCTCTGTGCCACCAAGCGCAAGCGGAGTAATGGAGTTGAGACCCTGATACACATCGCAAAGAAGCGCCTGAACACTGAGGTTGGGCGTGCCGACCTGCGCTGCTCCTGGTACGATAATGTTGCGCGGGTAGATGGCCAAGAAGCCATCAGTAATGGCTTGGACAGCACCGTACGGAGTATCGCGGCGGTACCAATTTTCTGGCCAGCGCTCAGGAACGTATTTGAATTCCTTCATGCGCGCATCGTACTCGGAACCAATGATGCTCATGACACTC